GGAATAGTAGGATACCAGATTTCTGATAGCGTATTATATATTTTCTGAGTCGCTATTTCTCGAAGAACCGGTGTATTAAAAAGTGCACCTAAAATATTAAGTTGTGATTTCATTTGGATATCAAAAAAATTATTAATAGATTGGAACATATGGTTATAAATAATATTATCCGCCGTATTTGACGGAAGATTCAAACGTTGTTTGAATAATCTTTTCAATGGTTCCATTAAAGATTGGCATTGTTTCGAATTAAGGATCGTATGTTGGAAAATATATTCCAATTTTGGTATAACTATTTTGTTAATAATATATTGTATATGGTGATGTGTTAATTTTTTGTTTTTCATAGTGTTGTAGTGAGCCATCACTATTTGTTTGCCTTTTCGTATCGTTTGCGTATGTTTTTCTAATGCATTAATGTATAAACCTAATATGCGTTCGCCTTTGTTACGAGGCGTGACAGGCGTTTCATATGGCCGATTGTTAATTGTGAGGATGATGTTCGGTTGTTTGATGGTACGGTCATTAGTTAAAATTTTGTATTTATCCATATTGACTTTAATATTATTTAGGTCATAAAAGGAATTGGCAATTGATAATTTTTCTTCTATTTGCGATTGTGAAGAGCCAAACCACGTAGTGTCGTCTAGATAACCTACTACGGAGATGTCAAAGGTATGAATGACATCATTCTCTATGTGTTGACATTTTTTCTTTTGTGTCGCAAAGGTGGAGTATTGTAAATGCGTTAATTGATTGATGCGATGAAACATCGGGTCTTAGTATATATTCCAGAGAAGTGGTGAAACAACTTCGCCTTGGTCAATGCCTTGGAGAACTGCATAAGATGGCAGTAAACCGTTCGTGGTAATGATTTCATTATGTCTTTCTGTAAATAGATTAAGAAAAAAGGTAATAATGATAGCAGGAATCTTTAAGCGTTCTAGCGCCAACTTCAATAATCGTAAGTTGACGCGATCGTATGCTTTTGATAAGTCTTGTAATATGATCCAAATGGGTTTTTTCTTAATTCGTGCGTGTTCTATTAAATGTTGTGTAATCATAAGCGGCTCTAAGGTTGATTGACCCAGGACGCCCGCTTTATTGTTAAATTGTAAAATTGAGTGTTTGGAAAGGGCTTGATTTAACCTGGTTGAAATGATATTGACTAGTAATTTCCTAGGAGTTTCCAGGAGAGTTATAGGCCTTGTGTTGGTTAGTTTACTATTCCAATCATGTGGTTTCGGTATCGGAAAAAGCAACGCGTGTTTCCATTTATCTGGAATTACTTTAAGTACAATACAAGCGTTGAAGATTCTGACGAGGATCATTAAAACGTCCTCGTGTAAATGTGTGATATCTTCATATGTGATTTTGGAAGGACCTGGCGCTTTGTTGTTATTCAATTTTTTGAAAATGGAGGAAAGGTCCAATAGAGTGATTGGTTCAATTAAATGATTCCACCATTCTTCGTTAACAGTTTGTAAAGTAGGATCATAATGATCTTTCCAATCTTGTGGTAGGGAGTCTAAATTCCAAATATTCTTTTCATTTGGTGGCCCCGCTTGATGTTGGAAATGTTTGATGGCTTCTTTTTCTATAATCTCTGGGTTATTAGTAAATACGTGTTCACCTTTGTTGTCGATAAAAGAAAGTCTATCCAGCACTATACGGTGTGGTTTACGATTTAAAATAGAGTTGATCATTTTAGTTTGATCATGTTGTAAATTGTCATTGCGTTCTGTGACATAAGAATTAATTTTGTTGGTAAGGTATTTATCGTACGCAGATTGGTAAGCTATTTTCATCGTATGATATAATCGATAAATTTCATCCTTTGTTGATACAAAATTATCAGGAGTAACCGTTGATGGTAAAGTGATTGATAATTTATTAAAATCTAATAAAATCTTTAGTCGAGGGAGGTATTTCATCCATCCTTCATATTAGGTGGCCCATACATTTCGTGGAATGTTGTGGAGGGTTGAAAGTGTGGGTGTGAAATTTAATTTAAAACGAATTTTAATATGTTTTAAATTTAAAAATTGTTTCACTTGATATAAAAGAATCACGTGATTATTCATTTGTCGTAATTCAAGAGGCAAATCTAAGTTTGATGATGTATTAGAGTTGATAGATTTTTGTGGTATGATATACTCTTTGAGTTCGATTAAGGTCTTCTCGAAGAGATTCCATTGTCGGTTTAAAGTATTTTTGTTATTAATTTGTTGAGGTTCTTTTGAGAATCTTTTTTTGAAAGTTGAACGGCTACGATTAGTGTAATCAGACCATGAATTAACAGTCATTTGATCGTATTTGAAGACTTTCTTAGTATCGTCATTCCGCTTATTAAAAGGAAGGACGTCCGCGAACTTGTCAAATAAATTCTTGTTTCGTGAATCAAAAAAAGTTTTTTCTAAAAGGGTTATAACAATATTGTGATCAGTATTAAAAAAAGATTGTGGTATTGATTGTGTATATGAATGAATTGATTGTTCTAATAAATTCGTATTTCCATAGTGGTAATCGATTCTATTTGTACTATGGGTGGAGTTATTATCTAAGGATACTTGATGGTATTTAATCATATCTTTGTATCCGTTATTTTTAAGTAAACGGATGGAAGGATAATTCGGGTCTGATTTATTCTTTGTGGTCACATTAAAATCGCCAATAACAATGGCGTATGAGTTTTTGGTGTTGTTGGATTTAATGATTAGTTTGTTCAATTTATCGACGCAGACAGCGCTGATTTTGGTTTTGGTGGCATCATTCTTAGGACTGGATGGTAAGTAGCAACAAGTTACGTTCAGTTGTTTTGATTTCTTAAAACCGAAGATAAGATTGATGATACGTCCTTCTAAAAATTCTGTATGATGAAGATGTTTTTCCATTTTGTCGGTAATCATGATGGCGACTCCAGTGCCTTTATTAACGCCGGAGGTGTCGTGAACTATATATATAAAATTATTGGGTAAAGTAAGATGTTTGTGTTTGTTAATAATGGTATTTGATTGATCTCCAAAGAGACTAGTTTCCGCTAAACCTAGGATATCAAAGTTGTGTGCGACAAAATAATTAATAATGTCGTTAAGTTTGTTGTTAAAGGCTGTTTGAATATTAATACTGCCTATTTTAATATAGTCAATAAAAAAATTATTATCATTAATGTTATCTTGATTGATCACATGTAAGTTTGTAATATGTTCTTCATTAATCAAGTGATCGGGATTTTGTGACAAGGAGTGTGAAATATTAGGAAGGGGATCAGATATATTTAGGTTGGTGTGTGACATTATTTAAAATATGTTTGAAATTGGGATGTGTATATACCAGAAATTGGGATAAAGACAATAAGGGGAATCAAAATGTTATATCTAAATTCTTTATGATTATATATATATATATATATATATATATATATATATATATATATGAGATAGAGGGGAGAGTATAACAAAACTTTTGCACTTTAGTGATTTTGGGGATTTCTTCATTCTTAATTAGAGATAAGAAGGAATTAAGGTAGTAAGATAGTCCTGGACTAAGAAGGGGATTGCAAATACAACCTCTATCTCTTTTTTCTTCTTGCAAGGGGGTCAGAAGACACTAGAGCTTGGACTCGAGTTAGGATGAGTCAACTCGAGTAAAACGAGTCAAGAATTTTTTTGACTCGAAGAGTACTCGAGTCTAGGACTCGAGTCAGGACTCGAGTTAACTCGAGTTAATTTGAGTCAAAGTTAAAGTGCGGGCCAAAAAACTTACCCATAATTTTACCCAGACTGTTATAGTCATAGTGCCGGCAGGAATTACAAATAGGGTTCAGCCGGCACTATAAACCACGTGATCCCGGTTGACTCGAGTCAAGAAATTTCTAACTCGAGTGCGAGTTCAACTCGAGTCAACTCGAGTTACATGAGTGCGAGTCCAAGCTCTAGAAGACACTTAACTATTATCAAACAAGGGTTGATTTTTTATGTGGTTGTGTTTATCAGTTCAACTTTTTCATGTCTATTTCAACACAGGGTACTATGACAAAAATATTTAATACTTGCATGGCTTTTGTGCCTCTCTATTCCATTCACATGAGTCGACCCTTGCTTTCTAGAATGCCATTCCTCGGTGTGTTTGCAGGTGTAGGAGTGGGATTACCTAGATTTAGATTCTTTTCTTCTTCTTCTTTCCTTTTTGAAAACATTCCCAACTCTATTATTCCTTATAATTCTCCCTTACCTGAAACGTATAGATTTTATATTGAGTTACCCTCAATCCATTCTGCTAACTTCTTAGAAAGTTTATTTCATGAGATACAACGGTTATTTGTTACACACCCAAATGCTTCCTTTAATTTAATGGTTGAAGCTATCCTACCTAATGGTAATAGAAGAACAGTGGGGACTTCCTTCTTAGCCAAGGTGGGGTTTACCATGAGAGAACTCGAAAAATTATTTATTGAGAAAATAGAGACATTTGAGGAACAATCAGGGACAGGGGAGGCAAGTGGTTATACAGAATCTTCACTACTGAGAGTATATAATATCTCTACAGCCCCACAACCTGAATCTATTCCTTTTTCTAGTGCTTCTGAAAATCTTGAATGGGCTAAACAAACTAAACAAGGGCAAAAAGCTACTAAAAGAGCAATTAAGACTTCTCCCGTATTAAAAGCTACTCTAGAAATACAAGAATCTTTAAGTACTATGTCATCTAATATAACTAAATTAACCTCTGTTTTAGAAAGACAAGTCACTTCACAGGTTGCTCAACAGCCTGCTCCTGTTACCCAGCCACTTCTTGGTATTAATTGGACTCCTATAGTACAGGGATTAGTTACAGGGGTTGCTTCCTCTTTTGGCGCCTCTGTTCAATTTCCTACCCAACCCGCAGCGCAAACTCCTGGTGAAGTCCAGGTTGTTCCAACATCTGTTCCATCTACCGTGGTCCAGACAACTCCTGAGCCAGCAACAGTAGATCTTACTCCTATTCTTTCTCGCCTTGATAAATTGGAGTCTACAGTAACACAACTGACTCAAGCTCAATCTTCTCTTACTTCTTCTCTTGAGACTTTAGCCCAAGGTTTAATTCAAACAAATAATTCTCTTAACTCCTTTATTGAGGCCCAAACCAAAAACACCCCTTCTACTTCAAATGGTAATAGTAATGACTCTAATAATGGTGGTTCAAATTCTGCCCCTTCAACTCCCGTAGTTAATCAAACTGCCCCCATTTCAAATCCAAAGAGTGCATTTCTTGCTATTAGGAGAGAACAAATGGGTTTGGAACTTCCCCAGGCCTTAGAAAACTTGGATGGAAAGGCTGTAGAGCTTATGTCCCTGCGTAACCGTGAAAGTGCATTTTCACGTGATCACTCATTTTATTTATCACCCTACCGCGTTTCCACTTTTTATATTTTCGAGTATATATATATATTAAAGAATGAGTCGCAAATTAAACCTGAGGTTTATTGCCCCAGTTAAATGGGTTGAGGATGAAGCTCGATTGTCCTGAAGTAGCTTGATCGGATGCTTCATATGTATTTTCAATGGTGCCTGTATCGGAGATATCTCCAGATTCCGTGTAATATTCATCTGAAAGCGGGAGTGCATCGCTATCAGTCATTACCGATTCAGTAGATGGTTGGGTGAATCGTTTTTTTACATCCTTCAAAGGGGTTTTTTCATATGGGGTACTAGTACGTTTGGCTTTCCTAGCTGGTTGTTGTCGGGTGGGTGGGGTTTGTGATGCTTGTAAAGTGTTGATGAGTGTTTGCATCTGGGTCATCAAGGATTTATGTTGATTTTCAAGACTATCTTGTCTATGCGTAAGCAACGCTATATTAGTGTCAATTGTGGTTAGTTGTTGGTGGTGCGAGGAATATTGTTCTGTGAACGTTTGGTGGGAACCCTGTAATACGTTAACGTGGTTTGTTATGGTAGTAATTTGTTGTTCCATAAGTGCAATTTTATCTAAGATTTCTTGGGGCAGTTGTTGTTGGGACCAGGATGACTTAGGTTTCTGATTCGTCCTATCTGGGTGATTTGTAGTGTTGTTATATGTTTGATTTTGTTTGCCTCGAGTGTTCGGTTGGGGACGAGATTGTCCGTTTGAGTTACCAGGATTATCTTTGGAGAGTTTTATAACATGGTTGTAAGTTTGTCTGGTTGTTTCGTTGACGAGTATACGATCTTTGTTACGTATGATGAAACGTTTTTTGAATATTTTATGTTCATTTTTGTCTAATACGAAATCAGTACTAGGGCAGTTTTTGTATTCGTGTGTATGGTTACCACATACATTGCAAGTTTTTTTGGTGTTAGTGTGTGGAAAAATGAAGATTGTGTGTTCACCAAATTTTGTACCCGTTATTGTGGTATAATCTTTTTTGATATCGTTTGGGTGGACGTATATAAACGCGTTCTTGAAAAAAGATGAGCGTGAGGTTTGAGTAAAAGTACACGTATGTCCCTTCAAGTGTGTCACTAAAGGGCTTAAGTCTCTTGCGTTCGTGTTTAAGGGTAGACCAGTGATTTTGTAGAAAGAAGAGGTTCGTTGTGTGTATATTGGATGTTTTGGATTGCCTGGTAGGATTCTGGCTACTGAGTCCTCAATGGCTAAGCACCAGTCTTGTTCTAATAAGTAATCTGCTGCAGCCTTGTCCTCAAAGCTGATTATTAATTGTTTATAAATTGGTTTGATAAAAATTGGTTTATCATTTTTGTTGCGGTTTTGGATTCTTTGAGGTGGTTTTTTGATTTCTTTGTAAGTTGTGATTCGTTTTTCCGTTGCGTCAGTTATTTGTTTTATCAATAACGTGTCGTCTTAATTGATAGGGATATCTAATATTTTGATGATAGTGTCATCTTGTAATTGGAGTTTGCGTTCAATTAGAGTATCTATATTTTGTTGTGTATATTCATAAATTTTAACATTAGGAAGGGTTGGAGGTGATGTTTTGATAAAGTGTGACAATTTCTCCTTAGTCGACACAGATATCATATAAAATTTGAATGTCATTTTTTTCAAAGATCTGACTTTGATAAAGTCTTTGTCTCCGACAAAGATGGTGTTAAGTTTTTGAAGAATTTCTTTGTCTGTAAGTTTTGGTGGAAAACTATCTCGTGGGATAAACCCTTCAAAGGAAGTTTGTATTTGTGTGTTTGAGGCTGAAAATATGTTGTCGATCATGGGGATTTCCTCCATTGGTGGTGGATTGCCATTAACGGATGTAGATCCTTCTGAAAGTTGTTGTGTTTCATTTTTATTGGTAATCTCTATTTCCATTTCATCAATCGTTTCAACGATTGGTGTATATGGTAAGTGGGAAGTGGAGTCACGTGTTATTGAAGAAATATTCCCAGGGACTTGCTCCACGGAGGAGGAAGTTTGAGAAGGTTGAGAGGGTGAAGTCAAAGTAGGCTCGGCTGTCTTTTGACTATTATTATTGTTAGTTGTTGACGTGTTCGACATTTTTCTATTTTTGTTATTTATAACGTTAGGAGCGAAAGTTCTGTATATGTCTTCTTTATCAGTAGAAGAATGATATGTTTTTTCGATATTTTTTAAAATTTTTTGAGAAAACTTGGAACGAGTGTTTCTGCTCATATAGGTAATGTGAACAAGAGTGTAGAGTCCGAAAAATCACAAATTAGACCAGGTTTATATGTAGAAAAAATAGTTTCAATAGTATATTTCTTTAGCTAAAAAAATGGTCAGAGTGATCGTCCTTATAAGTCTTCCTTCGATGTACACACTAAACGTATAGAAAATTTAATCTATGATTTTGGCATCGATCATGTGACTTATCGATCCGATTTATTGATCGATGATTTTTTTTTAAAAAAAAATTCATTTTTTTTATCGAATGTTTTTAAAGCCGAATAATTTTTTTAAAAAGAAACGTTTTTTTTAAACCGAATAGTTAAAAAAAATTATTTATTAGATTTTTAATTGGTTATCTATATCGGTTAAACCGAATAGTTAAAAAAAAGCAATTTTTTTTATATCGGTTTTTTAAACCGAATTATGTAATTAAAATTTTTTAAACCTTTTTCGGCATGGAATTCTAGTAAGTATGGGGTTTCATGTTTTTTTTATTTTTAGAACGTTACTGACGTTCCTACTTTAGAGACGGCTCCTGGACTTGAATTTCGGTCCGGAACTCCGGAATGGTAAGTTGAGAGAGGAGGCTTCAGTGTTTTTTTATTATGGGAACGTTACTAACGTTCCTTTTCGCTTTTTTACTTTAGGGACGGCTCTCGGACTTGAATTTTGGTCCGGAACTCTGGAATGGTAAGTTGAGAGAGGGGGCTTCAGTATTTTCTTTTATTATGAGAACGTTACTAACGTTCCTTTTCGCTTTTTTACTTTAGGGACAGTTCCTGGGCTTGAATTTCAGTCCGGAACTCTGGAATGGTAAGTTGAGAGAGGGGGCTTCAGTATTTTTTATTTGGGAATGTTACTAAACGTTACTGACATTTCTTTTTTTTGTTTTTTTTATAGGAACAATCCTGAATGCTATGAAATGACCTCACAAGTCACAAGGTAATTTAAGGAAAGAGAATATTTTTTTATTAAAGAAATGTTAGTAAAATATTATTAACTTCCTTTCATTTATTTTTCAATAGGGAAACCTTCGAGCCAGCACTATCAAATGCAACAGTGTAGAGAATTTTTTTGCATCAAAATTTAATTAAACAAAGTCTCGAAATAAGCTTTGCACAAAAAATTTGAATAGACAATTAATGATTTTAATCAATGGTCCTGATATAGAAGATTTTGACTTTGAAAAAGCATATGATAATTGGATTAATTTAAAAGCAAGGCGGATGCAAAATGTAAGAGTGAAATTTTTAGAGGGTAGGACATGTAAATTTTTATATTTTAGTAATAAATAAAATTTTTTTGCGCGCTTATTATAATTTTGTTTTTATATATAAAGATTAAAGAGCATATAAAAAATTTTTTTGCGCATATCCTTTTAAATTTGATAAGCGGTAAATGCGCACATGATTTTAAAATTTGCGCACATGATTTTATGTATTGCGCTATAAAAATTTTTTGACTGGAGGATTTAAAAATGGAAACGCGGTGTAAAAGCCACATGATTTCAGTGACATTTTTTCAAATTGCTGCGGTAAGTTACCAAATTAATGATTTGATTCTGTATATTTATTTCTTCGGGCTCGTCATCATGGTCATGTTAATCAAAAACGTCATAATAAATAGTATGGGATATCGTACGTCTTAAATTAAATTGTTGTTATCTTTGTTATGGAATATTTCAGAAGAATCGACCGTGCAAATTGAGATACATAATTTCTTTACAATAGTCAAAGAATTTTGCAGTGTCTATAGTAGTAGCATTGTTAAAGGATCTGACAGGTGTAGATAACTTCAATAAAGGATCTGACAGGTTTAGCTTGCGAATAGTTTCTTCCATGTCGTTTCGCTCTTTGCCTTGATCTGACATTACTTTTTTTTTTTTGAAAAGAGGCATGGAACCAATTTTTAGAGATCAACGAATTCCGGAATCTGGATGACTGAGGACATAACGTTAAAAGAAGCTCGTGTAACAACAAATCAGCCCAATAATCTTCGTATCATGAAGGAATTTCATCTCAAGATGATAATACAGCTGATAAGACTGATAAAAACTAGTACCCTCAACGCAATATAAAAAAGGCAAAAGTGCCATCGAATAAGGTGTCTTCTTCAGGTTTATCACGATGTGCAGCAAAAGGGGAAAATCTCTCATTCTCTCTACCCATATTTAAAGAAATCTGATGCTATCTTGAAAGTAAATGAAGTAACAAAAAGCAATCATAGGAGTGCTAGAAACTCTAGAAACTATATTTAAAGTTACTGGCTAAAAAAATAATATATTACTAATTTAAAATAAACACTAGTCTAATTTATTAAGTGCTTTTATAAATTTTGGAACACAACCACCAGTATAATGTGTTACAAGAGTGTGTTTCCGCTTTATTATCAAATTACTGCAATTATTATTCAATAAAGTACAGTAAATACAATTAGTAAATGCTATATACGAACAACTTTTAGAAAACCATAAGTATTGATCAGTTTTTCTACTAGAACTTTTTAATTGCTTGTTCGCATGTGTGCCAGGTTCGTGGCGCAGCCAGCAGATTGTGGCGCAACGAAAATCATAAAGAGAAAATTTTTTGATAACATATAATTGGGCTGATTGGGCTGATTCAGGATATTTTAAGGGAAATTTGACTAAAATTATGGTATTTTCGGCCAAAATTACGGCATGTCCAACAGGGTGGACAACAGGTTTTTGAGGAGACGATAGATGATCATTATTATAACTTTATACTATCTTGCAAAAAAATGATAATTTTGTAACTAAAGTAAATTTGTTACTCTTTACCATTATTGTTACAGTATAAAAAAAAAAATACTTCATTGAAATTTTTTAACAAAAATTTTAATAAATAACAAATTTACTACTTAATGCATCAAATCGGTCCATATGAATTATTAGATAGATGTAATTTTGGCTGCGACAAAGACGATTTTTAAATATCACTATTGACTTATTTAACAAAATTTTTCTTTTACGATATCCATTTTTGGAAACGATCGATAAAGACGGTAGAATCAATCATTTATATGTAAAGTCAAAATCGGCATTCGTAACCTTCTTCCAAATCTTAAGTAAACTTACAGAGCAGGTGAAATTACATCTACAATATAAGTTTAAAAACTTTATGTAGAAGCCTTAATGATGTTTTTTTAAAATTTGTTGCGCCACGAACACACAAAAAAGCAAAAAGGGGGCATTTCTTTCATCGAATGCTATTTTTATATAAGTTTCCCGCTTCGGTTCAAAAGAATCAGTACTTATTTTCAAGTGTTTAGAACGAATCTTGTGAGATGTGTGATTTTTACTGTATCATTACAGTAATTCTTGTTCATTCTTGTTAATTTAATCTTGCTTATTCGTGACCAGATGCTAATTGGTAAACCGTCGTCATGGAGAATTATTAGTTACGTTTCCGGAATGGAGCTGTGTTCAGCAAATGATGTACAATTGAATGTTTAATATAAACACGAAAAAAGTTGCCGTTCATGTGATTTAAACAAAAGGAAAAAGAAAATGAGATTTATTGTTAATTTGTAATAATTTCTATTGTAACAGCTTTAAAAATATGATTAATATCATATGTAAATACTAATACTAATTTTATGTGATAAGATTAAATAAAAAGTTTCAATATTTTATAAGTGGATGTCTATTCTGTAACATATAAAAACATCTTGATTTGACTAGTTATTATATAATTTATAGATTCGTGACGTTAACCAATATAAATACAACATCGTACAATATTTACAGATTTACGAATAAGGTATTATAATTTTTATAAAGCAATGGTAATAATATTAGATTACAAAATTATAACGTTTAATACGCTTAATAAAGTGTTATTAGCTTTTTATAAATAAATTTTCAGCCGCTTATTAATTATATGTATTGAGATATGCGGAATTTTTTTTACGATAATTTCTTTTCGTTATATACTGTAAAATAAAAGAATCCTTTCTTGATTATCATGCTTTATTTTTATAATCTTCCTCGATTAATCTACTCGCTTTCCATGCAACCACAGCGGTAGGTGCATTAAGGTTACCGGCTGGAATAGTTGGAAAAATTGAAGCATCAACAACTCGAAGATTTTTGGTTCCATAAACTTGAAGGCGGTGATTAACACATCCCCCTTTAGATTCTGGTGCCATTTTTACAGTACCACATGCGTGGGATGATGAGAATGCCTAGAATGAGAAAAGAAAAGAGATTGAAATACAAAAAAGATATCTATCCGCTTCATTAATTAATCCAATTTACCAGAACTTACCTTTTTACGAATATAATGTTCCCAATCTTCATCACTCATCTCTTTGTCTACATCAGATTCAACGCCCCAAACAGTACTTAACGGAGGTTGTTTAAATATTTCACGTGACAATTTAAGACTGCTCATCATTAAATATAAATCATCAGGTTTTTCATAATAATTAAGAAATATTTTTGGATGTATAAATGGATTAGAGCTACGTAATTCCAAATGACCAACACTTGATGGAAGATTAAGAGTCGATACAAGGGTGAGAACGTCATTTTTTTTCCCTGATTTAGCATTAGCCCTAGCAACGGGATCGAGTAGATTTGTACTCGCTATAAAGTATAAATTGATTAAGCAATTTTATAATTCTCAACTATAGTATATAAGATATTAACTTACCATGAAATTGAATATCAGGACGTTCATCAAGGAAATGTTCTTGACTAGGAACTTTTCCTTTAATATCACCCTTATAAAACATTCCAAGTTCCAGTCCACTACTCGAATAATGTAATTGAGAGGTACTAGTACTATTTGGAACAGAAACTTTGGCAGTGATGCAACATGAAGGATGATCAAATAAATTGCGTCCGACCGGTAATTCTTTACGAACTTTGATATTATTTTCTTCTAAATTATTTTTTGGTCCGATTCCAGAGAGCATTAAAATCTTTTTAAATTTATCAAATACCACCATCAGCTCATTGCTTTATTGAAAAACTACTTTTTAATTATTACCTGAGGACTATTAAAAGCACCACCACAAATAATCACTTCACCCTTTGGAGCAATAAAAGATTTATGAACTCTGCCGTCATAAAAATATTTCACGCCAATTGCAACATTTTCATCTTTCTTTTCTTCATCCCAAATAATATTCAACATGTGAGCAAAAGATTTAACATTAACTGCCACGAATTTTGCAGCATTATCGCTTAATCCATGAGGAGACCCTATATCGAATGGTTTCGAAGGAGGATAAGTCTCAACTTTTTTTAATGCATCTGTTAAATAACCATCAGCCAATGAAAAGCGCTTTCCATCTTTCATCGTATGCTACATATTAAATTGATTAATAAATTAAAAAGAACACGTTTAAAATTAGCTTGGAACTTATTTACCTGATATCTTCCTACTCCATTTTGTCTAACGCCATTGAAATCATTATTATAGGGAATTCCAAGATTTTTTACAACTTTGATAACATCTTTTATAATATCATCGAAATCATTTTGTCCATCTTGTACATAAAGCAAACCATTGAACCCATGATATTTTTTAAATTCTTCATCAGGACTTTTACGCGTATTGTTTTCAACCGCTTTATAAGCTATTATTAAATAAATGGTTTAAAATAAAGCAATATTAACAAAATAAAAAAGTATAATGCACAGTGTATGATACTAAACCTTCGAGACAGTGATCATAATCCCAAATTTTGTATTCGGGACCTTGAGCAGCCCAAAGATCGTAATCAGCTTTTTGACCTCGTCTAAAAAAATAATAACATTTAGGTGATAAATATAATTAAATCAGAAAATTTCGTGTTATACATTTAATCAGCGAAAAATAGGAGTTTTTTTTAAAAAAAATTACGTATAAATCATTGCATTCACAGTGCTGCATCCTCCAATAACCTTGCCACGTGAATAATTAATTCCTTTATTTAATACTTCTTTAGTAGGGTCAACAATACCGGGCATTTTTTGATTTTCTGTATAATATCCCCAATCTGTTTCAATTGTTCGACTAACCTATTTATAATAAATCGGTAATGAAAAGATTTACAATTCATAATATCAAAACATCAAAACATACCGAAGGATAAGCACATGGTGAACGCATTATATCATTAACTTGTATATTTGGTGGACCAGCTTCTAATACCAAAATATTAATATTTGGAATATTATAAATCAATTCTCTCGCTAATACACATCCTGCAGTCCCGGCTCCAACAATTATAAAATCATAAAATTCATTGATCTTTTTAAATGTTTGTCGATGATCTCGGTTATGAATGCCCTCTAACCAAAGGTTACGAATTTCAGCATCATCTTTTAATTCTTTGTCTAATTTTGTTTTTAAATCGAGTGCCATTTTTTTTAATAAAAATAAAAAAGAAAAAGAAAAGTAAAATTTAGTAAAAATAAAAAAAGAAAAGAAAAATAAATAAGAAACCCTATTTAAGTTCTATTTTTTTTTTTTTTTAACTGGTTAACGGGAAAACTTTATTAAAAATTATTGGAAATTACATAGAATATAATAATAAATTATTATATCCCCAACAAACCAGGTTAAACGAAATTCATGACTGAAAAAAAAACTTAAATACTGGATCATCAATTAATAAGGCGTAATCATTGCCAATATAGGAAATAAATTAATCCTTATCAGTTCACCGATTCAAACAGGTGTATTTCCGATTTTGTATTCTTTCTTACCTTTAAGGATATATAGTATGAAGCGGTTAAGTCTGGGGGTTAAACCCTAGATCAAATCCCGGATTTGATCTATATTTTATCATGTCATTATTTTATTTTAATATTTCATTATAAATTATATTAGGTACTGGATTTGATTTTATCTAATATTTTATCCTTGGGTTGATTATATCACAAATGTTTCTAAGTCATGTGATCAGATTTTTGTTTATATTTTAGAAACTTCTTTTATAACTTTAAAATAAAGAAAATTTCCATTTACACGAGATGTTCCTGGGATAAAATATGGATTAATCTAGGGTTTAATAATTGGATGCAATGTAATTATTGGTGAAATTTAAGTAATTAATTTGGGATAAAATATGGATCAGAAATATTGAAAGATCCGGGATGAGATAGATATGGATTAGTCTATTTTCACCCCAGATAAATCCAGAGTTTAATCCCAGACTTTTGATCAGTATGGCGCTTCATAATATAGATAATGAATCATCTTACCAATTCTGCAAATTCTGATTTAACATGATACAAAAAATTTACTTATTTTTGATATAAAAATCTAGATTATCAATCAAAGTTGGAACCTAAAGTTGAAGCGTTGTAAAAAATATTTATTATAAAGCAAATATTGCTAATTTAAAGTAAGTAAATGATAAAATTGTAGTAAGTATATGTATAAATTCATGTTTCTTCAGTTTGTGTTAATACGCCAGATGATATCATGGGCAAAATCTATAACGAATTTAATATAGCGAATAATGTTATATCAAATTTGAATTTAAGCCACTGTTTTTATCTTTATTCGCCATCCTAACCGGGATTTCTATTAGTATAACTAATTTTAATTTTCACATTGCGCAGGATTAGCTAACTCCTTTTCTAAAATAGACATGGGTAAGTAGAGTAAGGAATGTTTAAATATTCCAAAATTTTGAATAGGTTTAGAAAGATTAATTAGTTTAAGAGACATAAAGATTTGATAAGTTATTACAAATACGGTCTCAGCGGCATAAATTAATAGAAATCATTATAAAATGATAGTTTACACTGATGAGAATATTTGCAATTTCATATTATTATTTAACCAATGAACCCTATGACGTTATTTAATTTGATTTTGACAATACAAATAATAAATAATCCTGAATATTCACTCCTAGTATGATTAAACTAATCCTAGTAAATTACTGTAGTCTAAAGCGAGCGAATGTATGCACACTATTTCAATAACGCGAATCTATTAATTAAATGAGGTCTATATTCTTTAGAAAAGAAAGTAATTTAAATGACCATTAAACTTAATAAATTCATCTAGTATACTGTATATGTAATATCAATACATCATAATCTAAGAAATAAGAAATGTGAGTACTTTTAACCAAAAAAACCTCAATTAAGGCATCGAACAAATCATTAATAATCTCTATGATTGGACAATCCCCGACAAAATAAGCACAGAGAATCAGCTCTATTTGATGGTTTCATGGTGATAGAATTATGACCGAAAAAAAATTTAACTTGAATGAATATTATAAGAATAAGAAGAATAAATTTTATAGTGAAAACACTAGATAAGATTAGCGCGTGAGTCCAGAAACAAAGAAAATAATGAGTAATGAGAAGGAATTGCCAAATAATTAGTCTAGGGGCCGGCAGTAGTATGAATTTCTCTTTAAACGTTTGCTAATAAAATTTTATGTGATCGTCTTTAAGTAGATTGTGTATTGTATTCTGTGTATACGCTAATTTCATCCGTTAGCGTCCATTAACGTATATGTTATAGTGTTGAAATAGCTGGTGTTAAGACTGATGAATTACGGAGAGCTTTAACTTTATTATAACCAAATATTCGTTACACAACTTAAAATGTAAAAGTAGAAAAAAAATATAGATGATTTTTGTCAATTCACATTATTCATTATTTTGTAGCGAAATATAATACAAAGAATTTCTAATATGTTTAACTGTATAAATCATTAATTGCTCACTTATTTTTTTTCTTTATTGTTCAAATGGTAAAATAGTCATTGTACCCCTGAAAAAAAGACAAAGGAATTGGGACAATAACTTATTGATCTTTTGTACTGATAAAATTGTTATTTCATCATATAGGTCCAAAAACATCTCCGAATGCCTGAATTATTATATCTACCAGTTACGTAGTACAAATAACAGAAGGCTTAGCGCTTACAATGTGCTTACATATCAGATATTATGAGTTCAATTGTGTCAATTATTCGTCTAATTAGTCATCATTCCATTATATAATGATCAGAAACATAATTCTTACCTACTCTTTACTTTCCATATTTTCCTATCTTCGAAAACTAATATGAATCAACTAGATAATAAACAACAAGCAGACGCTTGTGGTGAAAAAATTCAAGAATCTTCTCCTTTTAGGGTAGAATGTGATGATGGTGATGTATTTGTTTGTATAATTGATTCTGCTTTGAAAGAAACTTTGAGAAAATATTTGAAAGTAGAGGATTTGTATGAACTCAAACCCAAGGTATTAATGTATATAAAATCGTAAATCTTATTTAAAAAAATTTCAAATAAATGATTCTAAGTAAAAATGTTGCGCAAACCGATTTCCCAAAAAGATATCATTACACGCATTATTTCTTGCCTTACCTGAACTTCAAAATGCCGTTGGAAGAAATAATGATGCCAACAAGACCAAAAAATCCTCCATGATTATTGACACTGATGACGATTATGATAATGATTACGATGAACTTTATGCATCTAATGATGATTCGTGTAAAAATGTCCATTTAGAGTCATTGGTTGATTTGATTGAAGTCGAATATAAATCTCGAGTTGGTGAAATCAAAGAAATGATTAAAAATGTAAGTTCAAAGCAACATAAATAATAGACATCTAACATTTTGTATGTGTAATACTGACCATCTCTTAATCACTTCTTTAAGAATGTTATCTCATTCAAAAATCTATTCTATTTGTTTACGAAAGGTAGATATTAAATGTACATTTATAAATACTATCGAGTCAATACTAATCTATTCCACGTTTTTAAGGACAACATGTACGTGCTATATGGAATGATTGTGTAGTTGGAGCAAAAGTAGTCAAAGTAACGTATCAAAAATATTATATGGATCATGAATACATGATGATTAATGCCCAAATAATTGATTCAGGTTTGCATAATTTGATTTAAAAATATTTTATAATTTGGTGCCATAACGTTGGTATATATAAAAAAATATTGTTTTTTCAAAGTCCTATAATGCTTAGGAAAAATGATACCCTAATTCTAACTTGATCTTAACTCTAGCTGTCATAGCTACAGTATGTCACCATGGCGTCAAACTCTAATTTTCTATTTAAAGTATAATTAAAAATCTTGCGTTTGATCTTTGTTTTAGATGGTGTCACTTTTGTTCATGGAATAAAAACATTCTTTATTAATGATTGGGGAGGTGGTGTACGTGAGATTGAAAAGCTTCGCGTTGTTCCATTACCAGAAGAAAGTCCAATTCGTAGCCAGCTAGTAGAACGTGGAAGAAAATTTGTAAAATATGGAATTGGTCCACATTACCTGCAGTACACTGGAAATATGTTTTCTAATAGTTGGTTTGGTACCACCACTTATAAAAGTGATGGTCGTATCATGATTGATACTGTTTCGTTCTCCAGGATTAATCCTAATTACAATATGGAAACCGCAAAAAAAGTTATGCAAAATAATGCCGGGATCTATGAAAACTCAGTTAAAGAAGAAGAACTTTTCATGTGTGCACCTTCATTTTATGGATTTAGTTATACAACAAAGAAATGGGGTCAATTATATATTGATAATTTAAATGGTAAAATTATCGTTTCGGCAAATAGTTCTCAATTTTTTTTGGTTCTTATTTCTTACAACATTTCTAATTATAGAAATTTCGTTTGATGATGATGCATTCGAACAACTTGTTATGGATCCAATAAAAAAGGAACTAATTTCTAGTCTTGTAACGTCCAAACATGAAGGTGTTGATCTTATTAGTGGTAAAGGTGGTGGTTGTATCTTTTTATTACATGGGCCTCCTGGAGGTTCGTAATTTTTAATTATTTAAATTAAATTAATTATTGAATGATTATGTGATAACCAATGTCTTTATTATTATCTTTAATAGTTGGGAAAACATTAACCGCCGAAGCAATCTCTGAGTATCTTCATCGTCCATTATATGCTGTTAGTGTTGGAGAATTAGGAACATCAGTAATTGAATTAGAAGAAAAATTAAGTGAAATTCTTGAGGTTGCAAATATTTGGAATGCAGTTATTTTAATTGATGAAGGTATGATTGTTTAATTTAAAATTGTTTGTAGTAAAGTCTTTTTAACATTTGACGAAAATTACTCGTTTAATGTAATTATAGCTGATATCTTTCTTGAACGTCGAAGTGAACTTGATATTAAACGTAATGCTCTAGTGAGTGTATTTTTAAGATTGCTTGAATATCATCAAGGAATATTATTTTTAACAACGAATCGAGGTAAGAATGTTTGGAAAAATATAATTGAATCTTTTAAATTCTAAAATATCAAATTTTATTCATTGATTTCTTTTTACAGTGAAATGTTTTGATGAAGCTTTTCAATCCCGTATTTCAGTTGCCTTGAAATATAATGAATTGGATATTAATGGTGATTACTTTTTTATTATGAACGAGATCTTATTATTTTCTATTAATTAATGTAAAAAATTTTTTATAGCACGTGAACAAGTTTGGTTAACGTTCTTGGATCGTATTGAAGGAAAAAACAAAAGCCAAGTGAATATTGAAAATTTGAAAAAGAGACCTCTAAATGGAAGGGAAATTAAGACAGCTGTGAGATTAGCAAAGGTACTAAATATATTTGAGAAATTCAAAATATTAAACTGAACTTTATATTAATAAAATTAAATAAATTATTGGATAAATTTAATTTTAAAATAGGCGTTAACTACCAAAAATGATCCGGATGCATTAATTACTACGAAACAATTAGAAACTATTCTCGATATTTCAAAATCTTTTGGTAAAGAGTTAGAAAATCGAGATAAGGACGAAAACAATTTAGAAAATCAAGACTCGGATGAAAATTTATATGAAAAATTTCTTTCTTTAGAAAAGGAAATGAATGAATTGAAAAGGAAATTGCAGTTAAAAGAATTTATAGAGACTTCTTCCAATAAATAGTAATAACTTGTTTTTTAATATATACAGTATATATATTAAAAATAAGGTTGGAAAAAATAGTAAGTTGTTAATATAAATCAACTTTTAACTATTGTATGTTAAAATTAAATTATCACAAGCTAATAATACACTAATAAAGTATTCAATTCTATATCTAAAAAGTGCACGCAAGAAAATTTTTTTTTTATCGCACCGACTGTTATTATTGATGTGACAAATTTTTTAGCGGGAAATTGAGAAATGTAAATATCCAATTTAAACTCAAACGGTCATTCACATGTTATGAAAATGATTTACTAGGAATAGATTACTGATCGTCCACCAAGCCATTTTCGTACTAAACTCAATCACATGATGTCAGTTTCTGTAAGCCCTGCTCATTAAAATTATGAATTATCTGATTTATGATTCTTGGATAAGGTATTGCATCGCCAACAATAACCATTGACTCCCCAATCATATCTTTAAGATCTTTCTGGTATACGTCATGTTTGTGAGAGGCGTTGCAATTAAAAGTTGCACTATAATAGTCCACTTATTAATGCAAAATAATTAAATAATTTAAAATCCAGTTCTGGCAAAGCCTGCGTTGGGGTGATCGGTCAACTATGCTATACCAGTTATGCCAGTTAAATCATAACAGATACTTAATAGTTCGCGAATTTTTAGATGTCTAGAGTGAACTTTCTTATTATTTATTACCTTTTTTAAAATATCCATTCTCATACATATCTCTGAAAAAGTTACATTGGTTCTTTTTGTATTATTATTATTCAACTTTCAAATCAATGCCCTGTAAAACCTCTCTCTATATTAATATTGAGTAAAAAGAAGGTTATTTTTTCATTAATTGGTAAAATATTTTAAATTTAGCAACGTAACTCTGTTATTCCGGAATTAAAATTAACTTTAAAATGTTTTTGAGGTGAATAAACGAGTTAGAATTAAGGCTAGACATTTAAATTTAGCATGGGTATTTACAAATCATATAAACGAAAGTATCAAGCTCGGAAAGCAGTCTAAAAAAATAACCATAATAATACTATCAAGGAAATAACAAGTCAATTAATTATCCATGGGGGAAGTTATTGCGTAAATAAAATAGTGATTATTATTACTTATAGTTACAGTATTATAAAATTGTATTAGGAAAATATAATGGAACCAACACGTGAAAAAATCAAAATTTTTTAATTTTATATGATACCATATATAGATTTGATTTACATAGTTGACCGCTCACCCCCAGCGTGTTGACAGCTATATATATATAAAGTAAAATATTTTATTGAATGAGCTAGGAATTGTTATTCAACTAAACGAGTCAACAATTGGAATCAGCAACAAATAGGACTCCGAGCCAAGAATTCTGTAGAGAAATATCCGATATTACAATTTTCTATTATTGCATATAAGGAGAATAGGGAGTATGCATGTTTACTTAATTATAGAAAACGTTTTTTAATTTTGTGGTGCCAGATATTCTAAATACATTAATATTTATAAATGGCGCAGTTAATGTTTAGAGGGCTGTGTCCCGTGCACCCATTCTGCATTAGATTTTATTGGCAAAGATGTGGCGATTAGTATTTCTCGATTAATCCTCTTGAGTAATAAATAAATAAATATTTATTTCGGCTTTTTCTTTCTATTAAAAAATTAGGTTTTTTTTTTAAAAAAAAAAAAAAATGTCCGAATTTTCAAAGATACAAATTCTTAAGGCTTATGCTCTAGAGTAAGTTTTGATGTATAAAAATTAATGTATTGATTACAAGTTAACCACATTTACCACATTTGATATTATTAGTTGGGTCCTATGCTTCATTTTTCTCGGCATATTCTTCAGCGTGGACCAATTGGAACCATATCATCGATTATTTTCTTTGGAGGATAAAACGATTCAATTTCCTTTTGCCGAAAAAGAAAGAGTGCCAATGTGGTTATGCGCTGTAAGTTAACCTAAAAAAAACATGTTTTAATAAAGTTTAATTTTTTTTAAAAAAAATTTTTTACTTTTCATTTTTAGATAATTGTAGTAGTTGTTCCGTTTGTTATTATAACTTTTGTGGCTCTCGCGATTAAAAAAAGTATGCATGACTGGCATCATGCTTCACTAGGTTTGTTGATGGGTCTTACGTTGACTCTTATGGTTACTGAGGTATTTAAGAATACGGTTGGTCGTCCAAGACCTGATTTTATTGATAGATGTCAACCGAGCGCTGCATTTGATCCAGGTTTAGGATTAAGCAACTCTACAATATGTACAAGAACCGATTTATTGAAAGATGGATTTAAAAGTTTCTTATCCGGACATTCCTCAAGTAAGAATAATAATAATAAATCTAACGATAATAATAGAAAAATGTCAGAACCTTAACATTTTTCGTTATTTTTTTTTCTTTAATAGCATCTTTCGCTGGAATGGGATTTTTATCACTATATCTCGCCGGAAAATTACATGTATTTGATCAAAAGGGATATACATATAAAGGATTTGTCGTTGCAGCACCTTTAGTTGTAGCAATTCTTATTGCTATTTCACGTACCGAAGATTATCGTCATCATTGGCATGATGTTTTTGCCGGTAGTTTAGTTGGTAAGTATTATAATGTTGCACGTAAAAAGTAAATTGTCAATAATTAAAATATTTATTCATTATATTTTATTATTTTTTATTTATTATTATTTTTTTTAGGGTTTCTTTTATCATATTTTGCATATCATCAATATTATCCAGACTTACATTCAAAAATATCAGATAAACCATTTACAATCAGATTAAAGAAAGTAGTACCAGAATATAAAGCAGAATTTAGTTTTATGGATGGTTCGGAAGTTGAAATTACTGTAGTTAAAAATGATGAACAACTTTTACTTAAAGATTCCAGAGCTTTATTAGCTGATTCTAGTAGTAATAATACTGAAGGTGGTTCAGCTGATATTGTAGTATCATAGTTTAATTTAAATATCCGGATAACAGGCTTGCCATAAATTATTTAAATTAAAAGTTACCATAATCATAAATTATTTATTATATATAATTGAGAGCGACTCGACCTCCGAATCATGTAATCATGTAATGTAATTAATTATATATAAAGTTCAATAATGTAAAAAAATAATTTATTGTAATTGGACAAATATTTTAATTACTTTATTAATTGTTTTTTTTTTATAAAACTATAATTTATTAATTGCAAATTAGCGTGTAACTATTATAAACTAAAAAAAAATGTAATGTATATTAAAAAAATTTTTAAGGGGGTTTTTTTTTTGATTTCACATCAGAAAAATCAGAAAAAGACTATTATAATATTATTAATTGATCTCAGGAAAGAAAGAAACCTTTTTAGTGAAATATTTTTTTAGATGTATTTGAGAATTTCAAAAATAGCGGAACCAATAACTACGAAAAGAATAATTCCCAAAGTTACTTGACTAACAGGTATTTTATCTTCTTTTGTCTTTTTCTAAAATATAAATTAAAAACAAATAAATATTAATAAATAAACAAAAATTATTTAACAAATAATCGAAAACAGTGTCAATGGTAAATAAATAAATCGTTTAAAGATTTCCCCCTGATACTTTCAAAGAAAAAATAAGAAAGGTTTAGCATACCAATGAATGAGTTCGACTATTAGTATTTGAGAGATAAGCCTTATTCTTAGCACGAATAACGGGGTTAGTAGTTCCAGGCTAAAATGCAAAATGAAAAGCGAAATCAGTTGAGATGCTTCAACAATAATTCAATAATTACAGATCCGGTCTCCACGTAATTAAGACAAAAAAATAAATAAATAAACAAACTTACCATTTTGAAAATTTGGATAAAGAATGGAGAAGGTTAAAAAATCTTTCTTTTTTTTTAAAAAAAGTTATAATCTATAGTTATAATTGAGAAGTGAACAAATGAACAAAATTAATTTCTTTTTTTTATGTCGAGCGGTTCTATTTATTTAATTTTTTAAACAACCCAAAAATGTCAATTTCATAAGCTAAGCATTCTATTTAGTCGCCAAATTATATTTTAACACGAGCCATGGCTTATATGAACAAGTGGAATTGGTTCATTGGCGTAATAAATTTAGAACGTTACACTAACGAAATCGATGGAATTTCTATGAAATTTCCATGCTAGACATACTATGCATACTATGGTAAACAAAATAATTTTTGATCTCTAAAAAAAAAACGGATTTTCCCGCTAAAATTTAAAAATAGGAAAAAATGAATATTAGACAAGCAACGGTAAAAATATTTTTTATATTATTTTAATTTGATCATTTTTAAAATATGATAATTAAATTTTTATTTCTATTGTTGTAGTCCGATGACTTACTTGCTATGCAAAATTGTAATATTATGAATTTACCCGAGAATTATCAAATGAAGTATTGTCAGTATCAATTTAATTGATTCATCTTAGAATACAGCCCAATAATAGAGTGGGATGATGCTAATCTTGTAATGCTAAGCACTTCCAACAAGAGTTTATCAATATGTTAACTTAATCTCTTTATATTTCATTTGAGAGGATAGATTTTTATCATGCATTATCTTGGCCGCAATTATCATTTGTCGCTGAAGATCATAAAGGAAGGATTGTTGGTTATGTGTTAGCTAAAATGTAATTATAATTCAATTCTTTTTTGCAAGTTGTGTTTTAATTTATAATTTTAACGATAAATATATATTTAGGGAAGAAGATCCCGAAGAAGCACCACATGGTCATATAACATCACTTTCCGTGATGAGAACATATCGTAGATTAGGTGTCGCCGAAAAATTAATGACACAAGCTCGTGCGTATATATTAATTCATATTTTAATAATTTTCATCTATGAAACATTATTTCTTAATAATTGTTGAATTTTTTTTATTAGAAAAAAATATGGTGGAAGTATTTAATGCTCAATATGTTTCGTTACATGTTCGTAAAAGTAACAGAGCAGCTTTAAATTTATATAAGGATACTTTGAAATTCGGGTAATTATGGATCAATAGTTTTTTTTTTTTAAAAAAAAAAAATATTTTATTTTTAAAGTATTTTCGGTTTAATAAATTATTTTTATTTTACTTTATTTAGGATCCATAAAGTGGAAGATAAATATTATGCAGATGGGGAAGATGCTTATGCCATGAGAAAAGAATTACAACCTAGTAATTCAGCTACTTCTATTATTAGTACGAAAACATAAAAAGAATATCTAAAAATTATTTTATATAAATATTATTTTTTGGAAGTGTTTTTCAATCTTGAAGTAATTTCGAAGGCAATTAATTTGTGAGATCTTGCGTAATCAACAATCGCGCGGGTCACGAACGTGAGAATTTTTTTTTTTTTTAGGAATTTACTAATATGTATATTTAAATTGTACAGCAAATAAAATGATTTTAAAGAGTATAATAGTTGAAGTAATTTGAAAAACCTATAATAAAAAAAAAATAAGAATTTTATATATATTTTTTTATAAAAAATTTCTTATTGTGAAAATGTTTAAGAATAAAAGTAATAGTTTGTAAAAAATGTCTTTATTATTGTTATATATTCCAATCAAGTAGTAAACCCAAAAAATTAATTTTTTTACATATCAATTATATTAAAGTGATTATCTACAAATTTACAAATAATTTTATACATATTTGCCTATTCAAAAGGTGGTTGTTCTGCATTAAATAAATATGTATACGCAACAACAAAGGCAAAAAGGATCAAACAATTAATGAAAAAAAACAAAACAAATAATCATAGTAATAGAACGCGAATACCTGTGATATTTTCTTCTCAAGCAGGTGTAACTTCAAATATTTCATATTCTTTTACCGTAAAAGATTCATCACGTACAATCTGGAATTCATAGGAAGCTTTCCTGCAAACACATTCTTCAGATACACGAAAATGACGTTTTAACCACAAGTCTCCTTCTCCAAAACATGGACCCCATCCTTGTTGATTATATACAGCGTGAGTTGGACGAACAACACGACTTATCACTGATCTTTTAAAATCTGCACGATTAATACGAAACAAAAAACTTTCCCGATCATAATCATATCCAAACATTTTCCAATAATAACTATTTATTCTCTGATAACCTCCAATCATTTCTCCAGAATCTGTAAGGATCAATACTAATAAAGCAGGATATTCAAATCTGATTCGATCATAAACTTCACCACAAAATCCATTATCACTTCCACGTATTAATAACCTAAAATTGAATGGATTCTTTTCCCTTGTTGATACTTTTCCTTCCCCACGATTAATCCAATGAGCAAATAGTGCCGCATGTTCATATTTTATCAGACAAGAATCAATAATGAAAGGTAATCTAGGATTATATGATATATCCAATTTTCTACCAGTGAAATAAAATTCTTCAATTCTCTCTTGCATTTGTTCTGAAAATATTTTCTTGAAAGGTCGGACATTATGATAATATTCTTCCATATCAATATTATTCAACCTTATATGTGGAAGGCATTTATGCATTTTTTCTTCCAATAAGGCAAAATCTTTCAATTCCCATTTTGATACATTAGAATCTAATTCTACATTCAATTGAGACGTAGCCCATTTTATTACATTATTCCATATATACATTTCAGGTAAGGATAAATCTTCACGTTGAAGTATAGCAACCAATATTTCATCTTCAACCTGATAAAATTTATCTGATGCAAACAACAACCAAGGATCATCACAAATCTTTTCAACACAAAATTGTCGTATCATATTACACGTAGGAATCAACCAAGTTGATCGAAGGATTGTCACCAAGTTTTCATTCACCCAATCAACATTTTGTCGAATAAGATGTTCTTGAATATGTATTGCAAGTTCATGTAACATTAATTCATCACAAGCAAGCAGCAGATCATAAATGTCCGGACCTGAATCTTCTTCAACAAAACAAAGTTTACAAGAATATATATAACTAAAAAAAAATCAATCCATTTAGAAATACAATCGTAAAATAAAAATTATAGGAGGTTAAACAATCACCTAAGTACGGAGTTGAAAACTGTTGGGTGGATGTTTGGTTTCACAAAAACAGTTGACCCACCTTCTTGTGTAGCCCATGTGTTAGACAAAGCTATTTTAAAGTACTCGCAACGAGTGGTCAATATAACTGTATGTGCTCGAAACATTTTGGAACATTCACCCTGACCAACATAAATCTTTACGTCATATTCACCAACATTTCGGATAAGTACACTTCCTTTTGAGAATTCAATCTTCATGATGAGATAATATCATGAACTTATTAAAATAAAATGGATCAATGTCAAAAAAAAGTTACAAATATCCAAAAATACTAATATTTAAACTATTTAAAATTCATTTTTAATAAAAACATTGGAAGTAATTACTCAAAACATCATCTAAAATAAAATATGAAACAAGCCCCTTACTAGAAATGAGTAAATTCCTTTACAGTAAATTACAATAGTTTAATAATCCGAGTGGTTCCTAAAGAGCTAATGAAAAAAAAAAGAAAAAAAAAAAAAAAAAAAAAAAAAAAAAAAAAGATTTACAGATTTAATAGTCATTTTTAGTAACTTATTATTTATGTAAAACTGATTCTTACAAATTTATGCAGGAACCATGATAATCATTCGTGACGTTCCTGGAAATGGAAAACATTCGTTCCACAAATACAACTTGTAACACACATTAAAAACTCCTTAAAACAAATCCTCGACAAGGATTCATTTTTTTTTTATTCTGATCAAAAGTTAAAGTTTGAATTATATTTGTTCCGGTTGGTTTATTTTTTTTATAAACAAAAAAAGAAGTCATTTAAAAAGCTTCCTTTGATAGAGAAGGACACGCTAACACTAGATACCTTTTTTGGTAATACTTTAAACTTAAAAAGATAATTTTATTTATTGGTCCGAAAAAGCTTAACTTTATTTTGTTTTTTATTCGAATAAGGTAAATTCCAAAGAACAAAGTTAGGTCATATAATAATTTGACGAAATTAGAAGGTATTGTTATGTTTCATTTAACTTTGTTTTCGTGTTTAACGATATGAAATATATATTTACTTAAATTTTTTTTTTAAAAAAAAATAATTACATGGTTTTAACATAGTAAGGGTTTGCTCTAATCCTAAATAATTCATTTTATTTTCAATATAAATTAATGTTTAATCGTTGTAATTAGGTTTGAAAATGAATTATCAACCAATACAAACGGTTAATCATTTTTCACCAAATATGATGATTATCGAAGAAGGTATAATTTTTATTTATAAGTTCTTAATTATTTCATTTAAATTATTCATTAAATCTTGATTTATTATTCCTTCTAGTTGGTTCAACGGAGATGATCGTCAATTCACCATTGATGATACCCGAATGTCTTGCTAGAATATTCGAATATCTCAGGGGGGAACGAGTTTCACTACATTCATGTCTATTAGTTAATAGATCATGGTGTAGGATCGTTGTACCAATTTTATGGAGTGAACCTTTTAAACTTTTAAAGGATAAAGCCAATGCTAGTCTTTTAAGGACATACCTTTCGTGCCTAGAAGATCAAGACCAATTACAATCGATACAGGATTGGATGACGTTTCCAAAGGCGGTTTTATTATCACAACGTGCAGCATTTGATTATCCGGTTTTCTTACGACATTTGTGTTGTAAAACAATGTATGAAATGATAGAGAATTGGTTTTCGGAAATAGCTTCATTGGAAATTCAAAGAAATTATAAGGAGTTTAGTATACAATTAATTGCTAGTAACTTTTTTCAATTAATAATGAATAAATGTCCGATCCTTGAAACATTGGTTCTTTGGTCCGGAGCTCCTAATAATATTACAATTACGGCGGCTTTATCAGGAACAAATACTTGTTTATCACGTTTAGTTACGTTACACGTTGAAGGGAATTATCAGGATATTGACTTATGGTCAATATCTCAAAGGTGTCATAGTTTGAAACAACTTACAATTGATGTGGAGATTAGTGGAAATTCCATGAACATATTGCATAATTTGGTAGAAGTTCAACATGAACTTGAACATTTTAGATTGGGATTTAAACCAGAAAACAATAGTTTTAATAACAAAGTTCAACCAAAACTTTTAGTAGCATTAACCAATCGACCCAGTAATTTACATACGATAGAATTTAATCGATGTAATTTCCTTGAATGTTCTAGTTTGGGGGCTTTAGCAAAATGTAAAAACATCAAACATTTAGTATTATGGAAATGCGTGGGTTTGGGACCAGAAAAGATGTATAGTTTATCCCAAGTAAATTTTGGCCGACTTCAAAGATTGGAAATTTACGTACATCCAGGAGTAGCCGCTGATATGGTAATTAAAATGATAAGAGATTCTAATAATCAATTACAAAGTTTACGATTAGCGGGAATAACACCTCAATGCGAATTACCATCAGTACTTTCTGTCATGACGATGCATTGTCAAAATCTCTCAGATTGTCGATTGGTTTTAAAGGATGGGGATAACGACGCTTTTAATGCATTACTTGCATTTTTGGGAGTCTCTTCAAAATTAGAAATATTGTATATCACGTTTACCGATAGAGTGTTTCCTATTTGTAATTATGAAGATATGGCGAAACATTTACCAATTGGACTTAGAGAATTGGTATTTAGGGACTTCCTATTTTCACCAATGAGCCTGGCAAATTTCTTGGAAAACATGACACCTACATTCCATTCACTTAGTTTTTCGAAAAGACATTTTGATCAACAACATATTGATGTAATTATCAAATATGTAAAAAGTAAAAATAATGTGTATCGTTTAATGAAACATACTAGATATATGAGTATTAAAGCAAGATCGGAACCTTGAAAGAGAAATATTTAGCAAAATAATCTTTTAATGTGATTTTAAAATAAAACGACAAAAAAATTTTCCGACGGAAATATAAATTATTTATAATACTTTTTTTTTTTTCTTATGATGGATAATGAATAATTAATTCTTTATAGATAAAAATTAGATTAATATATGTGAAAGTTTATTTCTACCTGAAGAATTTGAGTTTGGAAATGAGCAAATAGAATAAAATGTATTATATGTTTAGAATAGTAATAACAATAGTGATAATATAATTATGAGTAATACTTTAATAATAGAAAAAAAAATTAAGGAAATATGAAAATACAATTTCTATAGAATAATTAATTTAAATAAGAAAAATGTAAGCTTATATATATATGTAAATGTACACAGTATGTATTATTTTATGTATGAAAAATTCCTTTAAATATTATGTTAAGGACAATATATAATTTAATTTATTCAATAAAATTATAATAAGGAAAATTATTTTATTTTATTTTTATTATATAGATGTTATATAATTATGTATGTATATTTTTTTTAACGTGTGTAAAATTATTATATATAACCATAATGATCATACGATCATATTTTTTATTTCCCATAAAGTATCTGCAAATTCAGTTTATTTCATTACTAATCTTTATTCGTCGTTTTGGGAGTACCACTTGTAGCTTGTCGATTTTCTTCCAGGATCTTTTCAAGTTCTATTTTAACATCCTCAACTTGATCACTTTTAACAATTAAATCTAAACCATCATCCTCAATGATAAAATTCATTTTTTCATTTAAAAATGATAATATCTGTTTAATTGTTTCATCAGAACTTTTTTTTTTTTAAAAAAAATAATAATTATTATTTTTTTTAAAAAAAATTAAATTATAATAATTATGTATTAATATGTATATAATTTTTTTGTTTTAAAAAAAAAATCAAGTTCTTCTTAATTTTACCATTTAATATGTGTTCCTATAACGAGAAAAGTTAATGCTCGAGAATTCTTATCAGAAAATAATTTAAATTAAAAATATCATGTACTTACCTTGTACGACACGTACCATTATCATTAAAATTATTAAAAATAAGAAAAAAAAATCCTTTTGGAATTAAGAGTAAAAAATTTTTGTTTCTAATAATGCTGACTAATTTAAAACATAGTAAAGTATTACCAACTTGCCACATGACAATATCCTTTGATTGTCGATCAAAAAAGGTCTTTAAAAATATTAAAATATCAGATGTATCACGTGAGTTCAAATTGTAATAACGATATTTGGAATTCATCAGTCCAAGAGAAAGAATTCTTCGTTAAATAGAGATGTACGTCCTAACTCCTAAATACGTAATTTTGAATCCTATAAAACCTTTATTAAATTCTTAGTTCACTCAAAACTTCAAATCTAACACGACGTCTCATAAAAATGCAATATTTCCCTCTACCCTTATACTACACTTAAAACTACCGCTTTTAATGCATCATCCTTCAATTATTCACTAGGATACTGCTTCATCCACGAATATACATATTACCAATGAAGTTCTCTCTAATCAACCCTTACATTTAAAAAATTGTTTCATAACGGATACATCTATTACCCAATAATTTATACAAATAGCAAATTCATTACTAATCTATCATTTATACAGGCGGATCTGTAGATGGAATTACCGCCCCTCAATGCAGAATGGGCTTCGGTTGGTTTTAATTCATGATAAAGCTCCCTTCGTTACCTTCAAAAGCAGTCCCATCGTCTACTAAAGCAGTATCGCCACGGCACTAGCAATATGTCCTAATAATGCATAAATCAATATTTACACAGATTCAGCAAACTGTATAAGTACTTTCAACGCAATTATGGATTCACCGCAGAATGCTTAAAACAATTCTCACCTTGTCTGTTTATTAAATAACGATCTGGCCGATAACCTGGCCAAAGAAGGACGTTTTACCTAGCACTGCACATTAAACCTTTTTTCCTCTTTCAACCCTTTTTCATATTTCTTATTATAAAACACGCCAAGACAGTTTCAAGGCGAAACTCTTATCTCACTTATTACCAACAGGAGTTATTTTACAACGCAACTATCCGCCTAATACAGTTATATTATGTCCTTATTTGTAAATTTGTAAACCCGTAAAAGATTCAAACACGCACTTTGGTTTTTGCCCAGCACATTTGCCTTAATCACAAACACTAGACTCAGGCGAGGATATAATGACATATGGAATAGATGAAAATTTGAACAAATCCAATTTATTTGCAAAAGTAACATTCAATATACAGTATTTACTTATTCATCAACTAGTTCCACGTGAATTAACGGATGTCACCACGACGCTTTTACGCGACCTGTTGAAACGGATCATAGAAACATATAACGATATACTTTTTCAAATTTTCTCCATTCGGAGGTTGAACGTCGCAAATATCTACTTATCCTGACATGTTTATTTTACAAAAATTTAATGATAGCTATACAAATTTTCTTTTTTCTTTTAATATATCTTTAGTTTCTTATATTCCCTTTTATAAAATACATAGGTCTGGCATATTTGACTTAGAAAATACAAGGCAGGTGGAGGGATACGGTAGTACAGAATGTTTAGGTAGATATTATTCTAATAATCTTTACTTTTGTATTCAACTGGCTTGTCTATATAATAATTCTTCGTTCCCGCATTTCATTTTCTAGAGGTGAATTTGAGAACGGCCATAATTTAGGAATTATTGATAAATGGGAGGTTTATTAGAACTGATTCTGTTACTGCGATTTTAAATCATATTTATTTAAGGAAAGAAATCTATTTTGATGAAATGGTATATCATGGAACTCAATTCGATACATTAAATATTTACTATTTCTTGTATTTTCTGATGTTATACGTATATATACTAATTGACGTTTTAAATCTGATTTTGTCACGTGAAAGAAAAGATTTCGTAATCCGGATCGGGACCCATGAAATTGTCATGTGATTCTGGAGGTTCTTTTCGATTGGTTTTTTTCTTGATTTCTTAGTCATTTAGCTCATGTTCTCGTTTAGAGGTTGGAACCGACCAAAAAAACCTTAATCGATTAATAATCGATTAATATTAAAATATTAAAAATTTTTTTTTTTTTGACCGCAGATTGCACCAAATTGTTTTTGATCATACATTTAGTTATAGGAAAGTCTCATTTATTATTATTATCATTAAAAAATTAAATACAAATTCTTCCAAGTTCGGAGAACACGTGACCAAAAATTCACAGCTCTGGGCCGCATTAGATAATTTGACCAGAATTATGGGTTGATAATTTTAATCGATTAACCGATTTTTGAGATACCTTAATCGATTAACCGTCTTAGTCGATTAATTAATCGATTAACCTTAATCGATTCCAAACTCTATTCTCGTTAGGCTCCCGTCTTTGTATAAATTTTTAAAATAAAATAAAATAGAATAAAATAAATCTAACTCCTATAATTTTACATATATATATACACGGATATCAATTATTGTTAAATGTGACCACAATGGGCACTTATTGCGGATTTGTATACGCTTAATGCTAATAATTAATACCATTAAAAGAAAGCACTTCATATTATTCTAACAAATAAATATTAACCTTTTTTGAAATAAAAATGCATTAAGCATTTTAATTTCCGTTATCACTATAACATTTTTATTTTGTAACATTTACTAGTTCTTGATAATATGTACTCAACCGTATAACCCCTATTTATGTAATAACCTAAAAAGTGAGTGTGACATTTTCCGTTATAAATATCTATTTTGATAATTATGAAAAACAAAGAAATCGAGAAATAGAAATATTTAATATATGTGATTGTATTTTTAGTGAATAAATCCAAAAAAAGATATCATTTGACGTTATATACTCTAAATTGGATTCAAACTCGAGAACTATCTATTATTCATCGATATTAATTTTAAAATGAATATGGTCTATTATAAAATTTATTTTTTAAAAGAGTTCTGAAATTAGTTCCTTTATCATTACAGTATTACAAAACCTCGCTTGATCTAATTCTCATTTAGACGTTTCGTAGTCGTTTGAAACGTGTGTGTGTTCATGATTGGTTTCATAATATATATATATATATTAGTTGTTACTTATGATTTTCGAATGTTCATAATTAATCAGTTCACCAGATATGTACATACCAACATTTTTGATAATATTTTATCCGTATAATGATTGTTAAATAAAAGACATTTTAATTTTTTTTCGATCTAATCGGAATTGAAAATATTGTGACTCCGATAAATGTGTATGCCAAGTAACGAACGATAAATTCTTTGTTTTATTTTCAAATAATAAATATATTTAGGACCAATGAACGATCAATACAACAAGGGAATATGGATAATAAAAGTGACACTAATAAAATTTAGAATATATGCTGTAAATGGAGCTCAACTTTTTTAAAAAAAATTAGTATCATTACATTTATTATGTACAGTAGAATCAACTTTAGCTAAAAAAAATTATTTGATTATTTTGTTATATATGTATTATAATTTTAAATGTCGAATGTAAAATCTACAAAACAGCATTTAATTTTTCATTCTTCTAAAGAAGAATACGTACCGTATTGACGATTTATTTAATTTGATATACTTTAAATGCAACAAATTTGCTGTAATATGTGAACATTTGTTTCAACTAAGACATACCAATTATTAATAAGCCATAGACCTAACTTGGTAATTACCAAAAAATTCATATGCATGGCGCAAGAAAACAGTATCTATTGGTAGAAATTTTATTTTAAAATTACAAAATCATGGTTCCCTAAAGTATAAAAGAGAGATTAAAATATATTAAAAATTATTAGTATTAAAGTAATGATGACTTTACGCGTAACAATACACTACTTGATTATCAATGTATTCTTGCTTTATGTTCATAAACGATGATCTAGAAAAACATCTTTTGATTTATGAATTTACGAGCGTAATATTCATTTAATTTATCCGCGCAAATCATCTTTTTTTCGGATATAAAACTGAGCGATTGTTCCTTTCATTAATGAACGCAAATATGTAATTACAGATCTGGACGACCTGCATTTTACAACTACTACAAAGAATACAAAAACCTCAGGTTTGACCTGGTCAGATCGCAAGCACAAATTTCTCGATGGAATCGAATTTCTCGACTCCATCTTGATACAACTGAAGATCCAACTTCGTTTACACAAACATCACCTTCGCCTAACACTTCTTTGACGCAACGACCACGTACTGACCGATTCATCATCAAAAAAATACAGTATTTACCACGCAAACTATTTAGCCATCTTCATCCACCTTTATCGTCTGAACAGAAATTGTCAAAGAAAAGGAGAAAATAACGATGACGCATGCAACTCAAGGCTGCGCGTCGTAAAGAAGAACGGCGACAACGAAAAGTCAAAGGTTCGCGATCGCTTTCGAAAGAGTAACACAACCGAAGATCCTAACACTCCCGTCTCCAGGTCTCTAGATTGAAGAGTGTAGACAACAACCCACGTCCTCCAAGATTAGATCACCTTTCATTAAGATAATACCAAAGTTTTTATACCCTGTACCGTAGTTTCGAGCCTCTTGTAGAGAGCTCCGCTCCCATAATTGTAATGCCCCTGTTACTGTCTAAATATTTAAAATAAAATAAAATAATAAATTATTAAACTATCTGTAAGTAATTTATAAGTCGTTTATTTATAATTATTAAGCTACCTATAACTTTTACAAATTTTTAATTAAAAGCTGCTTATCGAAAAAACCTTGAAGGTCTAGTAGATGTCATTTAGGTAATTAATAGGTGACCTAGTAGTATTAATTTTTAGGTTTCAGTAAAATCATTATTATTCTTTATGACAGTAAGGTATCGAAATCCACAGGTAAGAATCCAAATATATAATGCTTTCATTTTAAAATCCACTAATTAAATTATTCTTATATATATTACGCACAACGTTCTCTCATCTTTATACCAAGGGTATTTTATATTAAATATCGTTTGCTCTTTAGTAATAAGATATGGCAGGAATACATTTTTATTCATTTATTTTTAAAGCATATTAGTTGTTTTTAGTTGGACCAATTGGATTTAATTCAATTCTTGCATTATATTAAAAGAAAAATATACAAAAGAATAAATTTAACAAGTGGTTTATGAATAATACAAAAAAAACTAGTATCAATGTAGCCATCTTAAATATGATTAGTTTTTCGACGAATTTTTGTTAATGTATTACTTACAACGGAATAGTATATTGTCTTATTGGACGAATATTTGATACGCTATATTATAATATCTTTTTTTGAAAGACAAAGTATAAACATGAAGAACCTACAAATGTTATCAAAATAAATTCAAATAAGAGTATTAAATATCCGAAGATCAATTAAGAAAGGATGATGATACTATAGAGATTACATAAAGATTTTTTCTTTCTTTAAAAGCAAGGAAATAAAGGTTAAAAAATAAAATTTTGTTTCGGCTATTGTTAAAAAGTTCTAGAAAAGGTATAAATGGAAAAGTTTTTTCGACCATTTTAATATAAAAAATCCAAATCTATTTTTCGTATGATTGGGCTTTTTTTTTGCGTCAAAAGTTTTGTGAACAAAGAATAATTCATTTCAAGCGCGCGCAAAAAAAAAATCTGCACCATAAATTGGCTAATAATATAGCAAAGAATGTTAATTATAAATTGATCATGTGATAAAAATAGATTGACAAAATTTTATTTAACAAAAAACGATAAAAAAATACTATTAAACAAGCTCAGCCAATCACTTATCTAAAAAAAACAAAGTTCAACTAAATTATTTCGTCGTTATATTAAAGATGAAAGAATATAGACCCTATTTAAAAATATTAATATATAAATGGCTTCCCAATTTACTAATTCAGAAAATCAAAATTTTTTTAAAAAATAATTTTTCAAAAAAAAAAAAATTAAAATATTCAACACAAAAATATCCAAACACTATAAAAAAGAATTCGCGTCAAATCTTCTTTGCTCTCTTGATTGTGCTTATGGCTACTATCGTAACAGCCTCTTCTTTGAATTTAGATCATTTAACTAAGAGGTAATCTATTAATTTTATTAATTTAATCATTAAAGAAATGCTCAAAAAGACAAAAGTCCATCGAAAGAAAAAAACGGCGAAGTCAAGATTATAACATTTAACCCAAATGAAGGCGAAGGACAAACTATCTAAGCCATTAACATTTTGTTTATTAGAATCTTTTTATTGGGCATTATTTATTCTCATTATTTCACCTATTTAACATCATTTAAAGCATAGTATTAATAGTTAGACGTACCATTATAAAGAATGTGTTATTATAGATTATTTTAACAACAAAAAAAAAAATTCTTGAAAACTTCGATATTGTTTTCTTTATAATTTGTACTATAATAATTATGTAATACTTTAATATTTTAAACTTTTTTCTGATTAATTTAAACTTTTTTTTCGTTTAACACGTTTAACATTTTACTTTTTTTTCATTTAACATTTTAAGTTAAAAGGTTGCTGCGTATCATGATGTTACAAGAAAAAAAAAAAGTTTAAGAAATGATAATTTAATAATTTTAAGAACTTGTTTTTTTAATTATTTATTATCATTATTATTTTTAATAAATTTTCTCCTAAAAAAAAAAAAAGAAGAATAAATAAATTTTTAAGGAGGAACGATAATAAAGATGAAACAGGAAAACAAATCGATCTACTTGGTAATTCGATTATGATTGGTTTTTATTATTGAATTTTATTAAATTTTCTTTAAGTTCAAATATAAAAAGATTTTCTTAACTTTTATTAAATTATATATTTTATATATTTTTAATTCAAATAGATTTCTGAACAAGATTCAAAAATCCACTCTTCAAGTACTTCAAGTTCTTCAATTCCACACGTTTCATTAATTGATGAAAATGATTCAAAAAGAAAAAGCAAAAAAAACAAATCACTTTCAAATGATTTTGTTTGTAAAAATAAAAAGGATCGATTTCAGGCTAATAAATATTCTCAATCTTCTACATCTTCGTTGACTTCATTATCTACTGTAAAGAAGAAGGAATATGTTGATACTAAAGGAATTAATTGCATTCCAATCAAGATCGAGTCTTCAGATGATGATGATGTGATAATTGTAAAAGAAGATCTTTATGAGGACTCAAAGGCCGATCTAAAAATTATTGAAATTGATGAGGAGTCAGATGATTCTGTTAGATTAGGAGGGCGTAAAAGATCTGCAGCCTCAAAAAGACGTAAACCAAAGAAGATTTGGAATTCTACTGATATTGAATTATTATTTGATGGTATTGAATTATATGGATCTAAATGGAATAAAGTAGCGTCTCACGTTGGAAACGATTTTAGAGGTATTCAATGCAAGAGACGTTGGAAAAGTATTAAAAGGCAATTTATTAAGCAATAAAATGGGAAAAAAAGGAATGATTAATTAATATTACTATAAAAGAATGAATATGTTATGTGGAATAATTTGTTTGGATTTCAGTAATTGCTTATTTTATAACTTGATTCAAAAGTTGATCAATCATTTAACTAAATGTAGCATTTATCGAATATAAATAAAATAATATCAATAGTATCGAAAAATAAACATTTTGCTTTATATTATCCAAGTAATGTCATCAGATCATCTGAAGCGCAGCATAATATGTGATCTCATTTAATTTACTAGCTGAGCCACGAAAACGCCCACAATTTCATACGTGTCGCATCGTAAACAATAATAGTCATTAAACTCAACTTTTCATTAAAAAACATTTTGGCAATATTAAAACACGTAATGTATTGTATTTGTTTATGGTGAAAAATTAAAGATAAAAATGCATTGAAAGAACTTTTTCAAATTTATTATTTGAAATCTTTTTAAAAGAAAGCTTTTAAAAAGCTGCTTTCAAAAAATCTATATTAGAAAAAATATATATATATATATCAAACAAACACAATTTATCAAAATGTTTTTCCAAATTTTAGGAATATTTACAGTATTTACATACACCAGTGTAACATTTACTTATTGTGTGATGGAAAGTATAACCTATAAATATTGGACGAGAGAAACATCATAAGAAACGTAAGTTTTAATTATGATATAATTATAATATTTTTATCGTAATTTATTAACGTACGTCATTTTAATTAATATAGTGTTAATTTATCCAAATATTGAAAGGTACAAACAATATCTTGAAAAACAAATCCTAAAATTCTTTTCAGAATTTCTTTAATTAAATACAATTTATTACTTTTAGAATGAAACTTGTTTATAATTTTATTTGAAGCAGCTGTGCCACGATTTCCTCTTTTTAAATAATGGTGTCACATCACTGTAATAATATAATCTTAGTAAATTAAATTGGTAAAAATAAACTCTTGTTGGCAAATATAAATCTAAATTAATAAACCATTTACTAATAATAAATCATTCACTAATAATAAATTATTTACTAATAAACCTCGCATATCAATCTGATCCGCGTATCAGGTATCCTTTATTTGACTATGAATTAGCCAAGTGAAGATAAACATGTTATTCTTCTATTGTTGTACAACATAATGAACATATTGAAATAGTGCAAATAATAAATGTTATAATCGAAGTTACATATTATTTGACCCTCCCTTAAATACCCTCAGAATGAATAATGTGCGAAGAATATTATAATAATATTTTTATTACAACAAGAGTTTGCAACTAATACATACAGTAGTTTCCATTTCAGAAGCCAGCAAACAACAAACGAAACGGAAATATAACGTAGATAGAATAGACGCAATCAATAGGATAGGCTATCATGTTATCATGTACTACGGGTAAAGTCGCTTTGTATTTATTTTTTTTCATCGTTCATTAATAAAGTACTGTTCACGTTTATCACCTGATATGTAAAAGTAGTGATGTTAGAAACTAAGTTTAGCACTTTTTTTATATAAAGTATTGTAAGACATGATTTTTGTAATCGGGATAGATATCTGTATTAATAAACTATAAAGTTAGTTCGTGACTGATCAATCCTTCATTACTTTACTAATAGCAAAAACCATGTCGTCTAACGTTGCAAGTTCTTCAACCGGTGCCACATATAATCTTATGAAAGTTGAATAAGTGTCATGGAGTCGAGAGAACGTTAAAAAGTTTTTGCAAGAGAACAGAGCTAGATTAGACCTTGAAGACGGAGACATCGATAACATATATAATCAGGGGATTGATGGTGACACTTTCCTTGATTTTACTACAGCGGATTTTGAGAAATGCAGAATACCGAGTGGACCAGCAAAAAAAATCGTTAAGTTGATCAAAGAAATTCAAGGAGGTAAGTGAACTTCATTCTTACCCACACGATGTCATATTCGCCATATTCACTTATTCTTGTGCTTTTCTTTCCTGCTTCTTATCGTCAAACCCGCTCAAAAAACACATTCGCGTTATCGTAGAGCAACCCTTTGCTGGTAAGCAAGTCGTAATAAATTAGTCAACGCGAGTGAATGTGAAATAACTGATAGTCGTTGCTTCATTCTCATCTGTGATGTTAATTTAATCTTGTAGCAATGAATCCAAACGATCTTGCATTTGTATTTATCGATAATACTAATGTATGCATACAGGGCAAGAAAATGGTTATGCGGTTTGAGAATGTTTTTAAAGAAATTATAAATATTGACTATGGCCGGCTTGTTAATTTTTGAATGGGCGGGAAATGGGAAATGATCCAGTCATCGCTGGATCTCAACAATGATTCTTTAAGAATATATTGCAATACTTTTGAAAATTGGGAAGTCATTAAAATTACATGATGAACAAGTATCCTCAGGCTCAAGAAATAATAGAGGTTGGAGGTAGATATTCTACATTAATAATCCGTCCAACAATATTTTCAAAAATATTTTATGATTCCGTGGTATACTAGCTTTTGATTAAATTCTTACTTTTATTCAAATATGAATAATATATAAAAATGAAAATTCTTTATATATTGGTTTCATCTGTTTATTTGATAGATGTATCTCACTGATTGGGCTTTTCGTACGTGCTAATTATGCACGTGATTCGAATCTACGAATCAATGGACGTGATTTCAACTTCTCCTCCTCCTTTAGTTTCATCCCGAAATTTTAACAAATATTAAACCATAATAACCCTAAAACAGTTAAACAAGGCAAAGTTAGTCAAAATAATAGTAATTTTTTACAAACCGACCTCGCGTGATGACATATCAACACGTGATTTTTTAGCGCTACTATCGATCACTTCTAAAGATTTTTTAATCGCGATTCAATAATGAAAATTATGAATTATTTCTTCCATCAAGTTGATTATAACGAATTTCTATTTTTTTTTTTATTTTCAATGTTGAAATTAAAAAAAACTATTTTCTTTGTTCAAAATTGCTATTTTGTAATCTAAGAAAACTTGCACTTCTTACATTTTACATTTTGAAATGGAATATACACATATAATATAAATGCTTATTAGGATTCTTTCATGATAGTACAACAATTTCGTCATCACATAATATAAACTATAATTTTTTTATTGCCCTCCAAGTGGACCCACCATTATGTTGGTCGTTATAGAAGTGCCCATTCATATAGTACATTCCCAATTTCCTATTTTTGAAAAATTGTGCGGTAATCACATCTTTTTGTTTCTTATATTATAAATTTCATTTAAGATCAAAATTACATTTCTAAAAAAAAAAAAAAATATTATTACATAAAAAATTCGTCAATAATTAAAAGAAATTTTCGGGTTGAATCCAGTAAATCTTGTATTTTAATGAAAAACGAAAGAAAATGGTTATGATCATGTGGAAAACGAAAAAGTCATAAAATTAATTAGTCCGTCAATTGAAACATGAATAGTCTAGATTAATTTAAAAATACATACAGAGTAGGCAATTTAATCGTCATCAATCATCATAAAATGTGATCTCAAATAGGTATTCCTTTTATACCTGTGAAAAGTTTGTAACCAGGTTTCCACTTGATCATAAGAAAGATTGTACGCTGGTCTAACATCTTCTTGAAGTTTAGGTATTAACCTTTCACAAATATCCTTATTAATTTGGCTTCTAAAGGTATCTTCAATCCTAAGGGTAAGCTCATATGGATACGTATTAAGAAGTGCCTTCATTATGGACTATTATGAATAAATAATAATTGAATCAATAAAACTTATATAACATATATTAATAATGAAAATTGATGACACAAACCTTTGCTTTATTTTCAATCTCATCTTCAAAAATATTATTTGCCTTACTTCCTTTCGGTTTTTTTTTCCGTATAATTGTTGATTGATTGGAACGATCAGACTCTGAATAAGAACCTATGAAATCGCGTTCAAATCCATAATGATTTGATTGATTTGATTGATTTGATCTCAAATAGGCATTTCTTTTGGACCTGTGAATAGATTGTAACCAGGTTTCCACTTGCTCGTAAGAAAGATTGTATGCCTTCATTTCTTTTTGAAGTTTAGGTATTAATTTTTGACAAATTACAACATTCACTTCGCTTCTAAAAGTTTCATCTGCATTAAGCTCAAGTTCGGGAAAAGTTTTAAGAAGTGTCTTCATTAAGTCCTGGTTTAAAATAAAGAATTAAAATAACACACCATGATAAATGTTATCACGAAAAATTAATTAATAATTTACCAACCTTTGCCCTTTCTTCATCAGATAATTTATTTCTCATTTGCCGTTTAGCTGGTCGAAATGAAACATCGGACTCATCTTCATCTTCTGAATCACTATCGTCATCGGATTCATTTTCATCTTCTGAATCACTATCGTCATCTTCATCTTCTGAATTACTATCGTCATCTGTTGACTCGTCATCGTCTTGCAAGAATTTAGAGAGTTCATCATTATCGTATCGTAATCGCTTATTTTCTCGTTCGAGTTTATCAACTTTGGATTGTAGTAGTATATAATTATTTTCTCGAGCGAGGTTTATTAAATCAGAAACATCCTGTTTTAGTTCTAAAAAAAAATAAATAGGTATATAAATGTTAGTAAACCCGACGCATAATATCAAATATTCGTAAAAATTATTTATTGTTAAATGTTACAAGAAAAAAATTGAACCTTCGAATCGATTTTTTTTAAATCGATTTTTACTTGCGTTTCGGTTCTTCGAGAAACGATTTTTATTCAAACGTTGACTAGTAGATTGTGGTATTCTATTTCGTCCACTCATAGTTTCTAACGAAGAAATTATTTTCAATAAAATAGACTGGTTTACGTAATACTAAAAGCTGGGTTACTGTGTTAATATTAGTTAGGATATTTTATAACATTTATTTACTAAGTTCAAAATATTATTTTTTTTTCACTTCTTTCGGACAATATATCGCATACAGGGTGGGAAAAGGACTAATTTTTTTTTTTTTTAAAAAAAAAAAAAAAAATGTTCAACTTATCTATACCCAAAAAAGAGCATGACCCTGATTGTTCATTTTTGGGAATAAATTTGCCACGTACAACCAAGTCTAAACTGTATGGAGTCTTTACAATAAAATCTCCGAGAAAACATATTAACAATTTTGGATATATGATATAATTCAACAATTAGTATTTTTCAGTTTTTCACATACTAATACAAATTGTAAAAAAAAATACTATTTTTTTTTATTTTTGAAATCGAAAAGAAATAAAAAAGAAAAATTGATTATAAACTAAAAATAAATATTATCTAGTAACGTTTTTTTTTTTTTTGAATTTATTGATATGCAAAACTTTATGTTCTCGGATAAGTTTATAAAAATAAATATGTATATATTTATATATCAGATACTAAACTAATAATATTAGGGGTAACAAAAGGTTTAATATGGTAATTTAATGTTCGTTTAATATGGTAATGAGTTGTTCACACATTATCTCATTTATCAGTTTATAAATTTGATTGGCTGAATAAGCCACTGATATGAAACTTTAGCAAATACTGCGTATTTTTTTTTATGTTGGTACTAAGATTAAAAAAGTTCGGCCGCGTATGTAACATATGTGATATTAATATATGGAATGAAAATTAATAGTGCATTTCTTCTAATCAATAAAAAATATTCAATTTACAAACATCAGATTATTTGCAGAGGTTATATTAAACAAATTTTATTTGCTTCACGAAAAAAAAAATCGAATGTATTATGTTTTAATAATATATTACATGACGCTATATAACAAATACTAAAAAATTATTATACAGTTGATTCAATTGATTCATAAATGCGTTATCATACCTGGTATGTGTACTTGAGGTCTAAGGCGCGTAATTTCTTAGTATGATATGAAGACGAAATTTAAATTAGGTATTTAATTTGTAATAATTATTTTCCTATCCGACAAATTTCTCATTATTATAACATGAAGATTTTTACATACGTCATAAGTATAAAATAAGTGTGAATAGTAACCAATTTTCTAGTAATCGTAAATATATTAAAATTGCTCATTTTCTTTAACGAAGTTACTGTAATTCTATTTAAAGAAATAAGATTATAAATAATTTATATATTTATTGTCTATTAATACAAGTACTGTTTGATAAAAATAAAATATGAATAAAAAAAACTATTTATGGCATAGGTTCTCAATTAGCATTTATATCTTTTGTCGAACGTGTCGAACGCCAATTATTATTAATGTTATCTGTTATTAGGATCATTTATATAGTAGATACCACTGAATCTATTGCTAGTCGGGTGACATATTGGCTTACTATTGATCAAAATGAAATAGTTTCGGTTAAATCAAAGTTAGAATTTTTACCATAATTCTAGATACTTTATAAAATTAAATATTTTATTTTATAATTAGCATCATATCAAATTTTTCGACGACACCGGTTTCTGACAAAGTCGTACGATCTTACGATTTTTCATATACGCAATTCCGTATTCAGCATAATTTCTTTTCAAAACTTTTTTTTTGGTAATTGCAAAAGGAATCCTTTATTCATCCGGACTTGATGAACTTATGAAAGCGATTAAGTCATTATGAAATTTGTAATGAATGCATCGATATGGACATTTTACAACCTGAGGGTATCCAGCAAGAGTGGTAAAGTGGTTTCATTAAATCACAATCAACCTTCATTCAACTAAAATCACAATCAGCTCTCACGCAAAAGACTTCAACACAACAAAACAAAAAGCAACCTGGCCAATTAATCGTTTGGTGAATAATGATAAAACCGAGTTTTTTACGGTCAAAAGATGCAAGCGTCAATCTGAACCGTGAGTTATTATTGACCAAGCGAAATAGAATTTATATCAACTCGCGTTTCTGAAAACATATATTATTTCATTTTCAATGTTGAAATTAGCAATGAACAAAATGTAAAGTTTTTCTAATGAGAAAAGTATTCTAGTAACTGAAAGCTTACTCTGCTTACGCTTTGAAATGGAATATATACACGTAGGAATGGCAAGAAAAACCATGGTTTAAAACGATTTTGGCGTTTAAAACATGTTTTAAACATGTTTTAAAACATTGGCACTAAGCATTTTATTATATAATATAAAACTTAAAGAATTTTTTAAATCTTCTTGAAGACTTTTACATTTCATTAAATGATCTTTTGATCGATCAATTAAATCAACAATTCATTTCTACAATAATTTATCAACTTCTGTAACTTTTCAAAGTGCTTACGGACATCTTCTAATGATGGTATAATTTAAAAAGGTTGTTTTGCAAAGTGATCACTAAATATTGCTTAAAAATACAGAAAAAAAATACAGAAAAAGTTGTTTATTGATTAAAATATAATTATGCAATTTTATTATAATAATCATACCAATCAATGTTTCTAAAACAAAAAAAAGTTTTAAAACAATAAAAAACTGATTCGGTTTAAATCACGTGCCATCCCAGTCATGAATGAATAAACTAAACTATGTACATTGGAAACGATAACTATACAGTGCATGTTCCAATTTTTGAAAGCACATTTAACCAACCAAATTCTCTATATATGAACATATAAAAAGTTATAAATTTTGAAATAACGATTTTTTTCATTGGACCGAAGGGTTCGTTGACTGTAAGCTTTTCTATGACTCTTAAGTAAATTTGCAAAATTCACCATTACGCTGATCGTTACAGGAGTACAAATATCATGTCTTTCACGCCTTTAGTTTCTTATGAATTTGAAAATCCTCATTTGAGGCCGGAATAAATATTTCTAAAATAATAAAAATTCGTCAATAATAAAAAAAAAAAGTTTTCGGCTTGAATCCAATAATTTTGAGAGTGAGATAACGAAATCAAAACGTAAAATCAATTATTAAATACATACAGAATAGGCAATTTAATAGTAATCGACCGTCATGAAATCTGATTTCAAGTAGGCGGTCCTTTTGTTTTTGTGGAAAGTTTGTAACCAGGACTCTACTTGATCATAAGAAAGATTGTACGCTGGCCTAACATCTTCTTGAAGCTTAGGTATTAACCTTTCACAAACATTCGTATTAATTTGGCTTCTAAAAGTATCTTCAATCCTAAGGGTAAGATCATATGGATACGTTTTAAGAAGTGCTTTCATTAAAGACTATTATAAATAAATAATAATTGAATCAATATAAATTTATATAACATATAAATAATAAAATTTAATTGATGTCACAAACCTTTGCTCCTTCTTCAACCTCATCTTCGAAAATATTATTTGCCTTACTTCCTTTAGGTTTTGTTTGCCGTTTAGCTGTTGATTGATTGGAACGATTAGACTCTGGATAAGAACCTACCAAACCGGGAAAGAAAAAATCAAATCCAGTGTGATTTGATTGATTTGATTTCAAGTAGGCATTTCTTTTGGACCTGTGAATAGATTGTAACCAAGTTTCCACTTGCTCGTAAGAAGGACTGTACGCCTTCATTTCTTTTTGAAGTTTAGGTATTAACTTTCGACAAATTTCAACATTCGCTTCGCTTTTAAAAGTTTCATGTTCCTTAAGTTCAAGCTCAGGAAAAGTTTTAAGAAGCGTCTTCATTAAGACCTGGTTTAAAATAAAGAATTAAAATAATACACCACGATAAATATTATCATGAAAAATTAATTAATAATTTACCAACCTTTGCCCTTTCTTCATCAGATAATTTATTTCTCATTTGCCGTTTAGCTGGTCGAATTGAATCATCTTCATCTTCTAAATCCCAATCGTCCTCATCATCGTCAACTGGAAATTTACTTCGTTTAGAATTATTGTATCGTAATCGCTTATTTTCTAGTTCGAGTTTATCAACTTTGGATTGTAGTAGTATATAATTATTTTCTTGAGTGAGTTTTTTTAAGTCATAAACCTCCTGTTTTAATTCTAAATAGATAAATAGGTATATATATATATATTAGTAAACCCGACGCATAATATCAAATATTCGTAAAGCACTACTTTATCGTTAAAATGTTAAAAAAAAAACAGACCTTCGACTTCCATTTTTACAGGATTTTTTTTACTAAAAGAGTCAGAAAAACCAAAACGAAGATTTTTACTTGCGTTTTGGTTCTTCGATGAAGCAGAACTTCGGCTAGCTCCTCCTAGAGAGGAACGATTTTTATTTAAACGTTGACTAGTAGGTTGCGTCTTTCTACCTCGTCCACTCATAGTTTTTAACGAAGAAATTTTTTTCAATAAAATTGATTGGTTTACGTAATTAAAATGAATTACTAAAAGCTATGAGTTACTGTGTTAATATTAGTTTTTAACTAATTAGGATATTTTATAATATTTATTTACTAAGTACAAAATATTATTTTTTCACTCTTTCGGACGATATATCGCATACAGAGTGGGAAAAGGACTAATTTTTTTTTTTTTATAAAAAAAAAAAATGTTCAACTTATCTATACCCAAAAAAGAGCATGACCCTGATTGTTCATTTTGGGAATAAATTTGCCACGTACAACCGAGTCTAAACTGTATGGAGTTTTTACAATAAAACCTCCGAGAAAACATATTAACAATTTTGGATATATGATATAATTTGTTTTTTTTAACAATTAGTATTTTCACATAATAATACAAATTGTAAAACATTACCTTATTTTTTTATTTTTGAAAATCGAAAGAATAAAAAAGAAAAATTGGTTATAAACTAAAAATAAATATTCGTTTTTTATGGGGGCATGAATTTATTGATATGCAGAACTTTATGTTCTCGGATATTATATGTATATTTATATATCAGATACTAACGAATATTAATTAATTCAAATTTATTTAGGGATAGTACAGCGTAACAAAAGGTTTAATATGGTAATTCAATGTTTGTTTAATATGGTAATGAGTTGTTCACACATTATCAGTTTATAAATTTGATTGGCTGAATAAGCCACTGATATGAAACTTTAGCAAATGCTGCGTATTTTTTTAAAAAGTATGCAATATATTACAATATATGTGATATTAATATATGAATGAAAATTAATAGTGTATTTCACTTCTAATACTTCTAATAAATTACAAACGTCAAGTTATTGAAGAGATTATATAAACAAATTTCGTTATTTCACTAATTTATTGTATTTCACTATAACAAAATACTAAAAAATTATGATACAAATCAATATAGAAATAGCTAGACAGAAATGACGATGATTGTTATCATACCCGGTCTGCGCACTTGAGGCACTTATGTGGCTATGCTAAGAAAGGCGCGTAATTTCTTAGTATGGATATGTCGTAACAATCTAATTTTATAGGGAAATTTCTATAAAAAAAATTCTGGAAAAGACTCCGATAAATGATCATTTTTCTAGTTTTTATTCCGACACGTGATCATTTTTCTGAAAAATTTTTTATAGGGAATGATTTATTATTCTGGTTAGAGCTTCCGTTTGAAATTTGTACATTCGAACATTCGTTTGTAAATCATAATTCGAAACTGAAATATTAAAATTCGAATGTCATGTGAAATTCGATGTTCAAATTTGCCACATGATTTCATTGATTTGACGCCTATTTGTGTACAGAATAAATAGACTGATCATTGATAAAAAAATTCTTCGATAGACGATATTTAATTAATTTTTTCTTTTGGCTATTATAAATTTATTATGGAAGAAGGTCAAGAAACAGAATATAATAACAACATTGAAGAGTTTAAAACCAGAAAAAGTAGAAAATTTAATCTTTTTAAAAGAAATTCCAATTTACTTGATATCATGTAATTACTTTAATTTGTAACATAAAGGAAATAATTTAAATATTAAATAAAATAAAGAAATAAAGACATAATTTTACTAAAAAAAAAATAAGTTCGTAATAAAATTATGAAATTTGAATATTGTATGAGATTCGAATATCATATGATGAATTCGAATATCATGTAATATTCGAATATCATATGAATATTATATAATATTCGAATCATATTCGAAATTCTATCTCAAATATTTTCAAACATTCGAAATACAATTTGACTTTCAAACGGAATCTAATTCTGGTGGCCCACCGTTAGCAAAAGTTTTTTTCATGATTTCTTTCAGTTTTATTTATAGTAAACCAAATATACCCTATATACTTTATAATAATTATTTTCCTATCTGATAAATTTATAACAAACAGAGTATATTTCTTTTTTTTCATTTGTAAATATTTTGATATTTATTGTCTATTAATACAAGTGCTGTTTCGTAAAAATAAATAGAAATTTAAATTGGATAATTTTTCAAATGTAAAAGATACTTTTATAGGATTAAACATTTTATTTATTTCATATTCTATAATTAGCATCATATCAAATTTTTCGACGACACCGGTTTCTGACAAAGTCGTACGATTTTACGATTTTTCATATACGCAATTCCGTGTTCAACATTAATTTCTTCTCAAACCCTTTTTTTTTTTTGGTAATTGCAAAAGGAATCCTTATTCATCCGGACTTGATGAACTTATGAAAGCGACTAAAGTAATTATGAAATTTGCAATGAATGCATCGATATGGACATTTGACAACCTGAGGGTATCTAGCAAGAGTGGTAAAGTGATTTCATTGAATCAAAGTCAACCTTCATTCAACTAAAATCACAATCAACTTTCACGCAAAGGACTTCAATACAACAAGACAAAAAGCAACCTGGCCAGTTAATCACCTGGTGAATAATGATAAAGCGTAGTACTAATATCACGAGTTTTTTCGGTCAAAAGCTACGAGCGTCAACTTGAACCGTGAGTTATTATTGAAGATTTAGAATCTATTCGTAACTATTTTTGAAATCTTTGTGAAAATATTCTAATTCATGTAATTTATTAAGGTTATATGGAATTATTTTATTTATTTTTTTTTTTTGCAATGAATCATTTACCAAAAAACTATGATCCACTTATAATGATTGAAGGTTGGATTAGTGGAAGTAATGACATTTATTAAAGATACAATTTATAATGAAAGAAACACCGATAGAAATTACTTGAATGGGTACATCTGATATAAAACAACAGGTGAAACATGGATCGATGATAAAGCAGAATTATGACAAGATGATGATGGAAATTGGAAAAAAAGAATCCAAATCTACCATATAGTTCTAGGATCACAAAATATGTCAATTGAACTATGATGCTTTAGAATCGCAAATAAAGAAATTTGAGAAGTATCCTTTTAAGTAATTTTAACAAAATCTTATTGAAAGAACAAATTAATTATTTTATACTGGTTAATTTTTATCAAAATTTTAGGACTTGAGTTTAATAGTTTAAACATTCATTACTAATATTTATATTTTGTAGAAATACGTATAATTATTTCCTAAATGCGTAAAAGAACAAATTAAGTGGGGAGTTGCCATTATATAGACGGAGTCTTTCACATATTGAGATGATTAATTCGGACATAATTATATAAAATAGCTTATTTGGATCGAAGTAAGTGGCCGTCTAACCGATACCTTTTATAAAGATAACCTTAAGAAACCATTTTCATCTGGAGAAAGGTATAAAGCGCATTTGAGACATTACTTGAAGTCACCATAATATTGACAATATAATAGACGATTAGAACTTCATGATAATTCGTTGTGTCTATTACTCTAATAGTTTACTTCATAATATTATTAATAATCGATAAATACTAGTCGGATATGATTTTTAAGAATGAGTTGTGTCGCTAATATAATTTCTACTGTTTGTAATAGATAGTAAGGAACTTCTCATCCAATGAGTTCATCCAATGCCTCAACTTTGCGAAATTTGAACGTGAAAATTAAATTACAAGAATATCTGCAGAATTTTAGTATAGTAGTACCATATACTCAGATTTGTTTTAGAATGTTTAAAGCGTTATTTCCAATTTATTTTCATTTAATCCATGAACAGATCTTTCAACTCAAACCTACTCTTTATTCTTCTGCTGTAAGATTAACAGAACAATAAACGTAATAAACATAATGCAATAACAAATGCTATAATTCTGTATTGTAAAAAATAGTTTATTTTATTTAATTTTCAATTCTAACTGGAATTATAAGTTATCATCAATCACTTAGATTATATATATACTGTATATATATATATTTATTTTATTTAATTTTTCAACGTTGAAGTTAGTAATGAACAAAATGTAAGTTTTTAATAAGAAAATTATTATCTAGCTAGTATAGCTTACTTTGAAATGGAATATATACAAAAGTGTTTATTAGGGTTCTTAAAAATATTTTATATAAGATATGAAGCTTTTCCATGACCCTATAAGTAAATTCACCATTACGTCTGATCGTTGCTAGCAGCGACGTTACCAAGTAACACATAAATAGGAGCACAAATATCATTTCTTATTAATTTGAAAATTCCCATTTAAGACCGGAATAAATATTTCTAAAATAATAAAATTCGTCAATAATAAAAGAAATTTTCGGTTGAATCCAATAATTTTGTTGAGAGTATGTCTAAGTTAACGAAATAAAAACGTAAAATTAATTATTAAATACATACGGTATAGGCAATTTATTATTCATCGATATCCATTCTATTTGATTTCAAATAGGTTTTTCTTTTGGACTTGTGAATAGATTGTAACCAGGTTTCCACTTGCTTATAAGAAAGATTGTACACTGGCTTAACATCTTCTTGAAGCTTAGGTATTAATACTTCACAAATGTCAGTATTCACTTGGCTTTTAAAAGTTTCTTCAATCTTAAGTTTGTACTTATTCTGAGTATAAGTTTTATCAAGAAGTCTCCTCATTAAGGACTATTTATAAATAAAAGAATAAAAAATTCAGTAAAATTTATATGATACAAATAATGATTAATTAATGAAACAAACCTTTGCACCTTCACCAATCTTTGAACCTTCTTCATACTTTAACTCATCTTCATCTTCATCTTCAGAAACATTACTTGGTTTTCTTTCTTTTGGTTTTGTTTGCCGTATAGCAGCTGGTCGATTGGTAACATCAGACTCTACTTCTTGTAAATAATCCAATTCATCATCTAATGACATTGGATTTGATTGATTTAATTGATTTGATTTTAAATAGGCATATCTTTTGGACCTGTGAATGGATTGTAACCAGGTTTCCACTTGCTCGTAACTAGGATTGTACGCCTTCATTTCCTTTCTAAGTCTAGGTATTAGCTTTTGACAAATTTCAACATTCGTTTTGCTTTTAAAGGTTTCATCACCCCTGAGATTAAGCTCAGATGGAAACGTTTTAAGAAGTGTTCTCATTAAGATCTAGTTTAAAATAAAGAATTAGGCAATTCAGTAAAGTTTATATAACACACCAAACAATGAAATTAATTGATTATACGAACCTTTGCTCCTTCTTCAATCTTTAATCCATCTTCATCTTCAGATAAATTACTTGGATTTCTTCCTTTTGATTTTGTTTGCCGTTTAGCTGATTGAATACTACCATCAGAATCGGCTTCTTGTGAATTATCGACTTCATTATTTAATGAAGATAGATTTAATTGTTTCAAATAGGTATTCCTTTTATACCTGTGAAAAGTTTGTAACCAGGACTCCACTTGCTCATAAGAAAGATTGTACGCTGATTTGACTTCTCTTTGAAGCTTAGGTATTAAACTATCACAAATCTCAGTATTAATTTGGCTTTTAAAAGTATCTTCAACCTTAAGGTTAAATTCATATGGATACGTTTTAAGAAGTGCCTTCATCAAGGACTAATTATAAATAAATAATATCAAAATCAATAATATATCATATAAATAATTAGAATTAATTGATGATACAAACCTTTGCTCCTTCTTCAATCTTTAACTCATCATCATCTTCAGAAAAATTATTTGACTTTCTTCCTTTTGATTTTGTTTCCCGTTTAGCTGATCGAATGGCATCATCAGACTCTGCTTCTAGTAAATAACCAAATTCATTATTTAATGATGTCGGATTTGATCGATTTAATTGATTTGATCTATTATAGGCATTTCTTTTGGATTTGTGAAAAGATTGTAACCAGGTATTCAATTGCTCGTAAGTAGGATTGTACACTTTCATTTCCTTTTGAAGTTTAGGTATTAACTCTTGACAAATTTTAACATTCGCTTCGCTTTTAAAGGTCTCGCCTTCCTTAAGCTCAAGCTCAGGGAAAGTTTTAAGAAGTGTCCTCATTAAGACCTGGTTTAAACAAGGAATTAAAATAATTTATTATAATCAATGTAATCATGAAAAATTAATAAACGATTTATCAACCTTTGCTTTTTCTTCTTCATCAGATGTTTTTTTTCTCATTTGTCGTTTAGCCAGTCGAGTGCCATCATCAGATACATTTTCATTTTGTGAAGCATTATCGACATCTAATGACTGTAGAAATTCATAATTTTCAATTTGAACTTGCAAAAAGTTATTCTGTTTAGTGAGTTCATCGTTATTGAATCGTAATTGTTCAGTTTCTTGCTCGAGTCTATTATTCTGTTGAGAGAGTTCGTTATTCTTAGACTGTAATTCAAAAATTTGCCGGTTCAATTCTAAATATAAAAATAGATAGACGGATATACATATATTAGCAAACCTTTGCCGTAAAAATTATTTATTTAAAAAGTGGTTAAAAAAAATTGAACCTTCTACTTCAGTTTGACTTGAAGAAACAGGGATTTTTCTATTAAAGTTGTCAGAACTAGGATGAATATTTTTGGTTGTATTTCGTTTCTCTGAGGAAGTAACATTTCTTCCAGCTACTCCTTGAGAGGAAATATTTTTACGTTGACTAGTAGATTGTGTTTTTTTATTTTGACCAGTCATAGTTTCTGTGAAAAATAATTTAATAATTAATGATTGACGTAATTAAATTAATTACACAACGCTAGGAGTACCGTGTTAATATTATCTTTTAACAAATTAGAATATATTTACTAGGTCAAATATTATTTTTACTCTTCAGACGATATATACATATATTTACATAACAGGGTGGGAAAGAAATTTTTTTTTCTTTTTTTTTTTTAAAAAAAAAAGGGTTCCGAATAGGATGATCAAATCCAAAAATAGTAATATGCCTCGTAAAGGATCGGGAATAACTATTCCTAGATTGATCATTTTTGGAATAAATGGGCCTTCGTACGACCAGTCTAGACTGTATGGAGTTTTACAATAAAATTTCCGAAAAAAACAAAATGATAAGTTTGGATATATTTATTTCCCAACAATCACATATTAATTCTGTAATTGAAATGCCTATTTCTGAAAAATTGAGTATTGATACTCGATACTGTATGCTAATATGCTATGTATGCTATGTAGTAGATACTTATTTCCTCAGATCCGGGTACTAATTAGTGATATTCTTATGGTAATACACATTATCAAATTTTTTATTTATATTTTTAACGCGCATCTCTTTATTAGCCTTAGTACTGAATACATGGAACCAAAAATGCGCTATTATTTACATTAGGAATACTGTTAACCTACTAATAAACTAATGATATATGAAGTACAAAGCGAAAGAAAAACGGTTTGCATAAAAAAACTGTAATCAAAAATAAGTCTAAAAATTTTATCATTATTATATTTTTTTGTATTTATTAACTATTTTAGATTTTTTTTTCTTTTTTGTGAATTATTTCTATATATTATATTTTCCTTCAATAAAATTTCCTTCAGGAAAATAATAAACCACCCTATTTGTCGTGAATCTTGAATTTTTGGATTCTCTTCCATGATTTTCTTCTTGAAATCTCGATATTGTCCAGCAAACTATCTTGTATTTCATTATTCCACTTATTTTTGCCGTTAATTTGGTTTTTATCTGAAGTTACCCCAGTGACCGCGTCTTTTTTGCCTTCGTCAACCAAATTTGTAAGAGTGTCGTTACTCTTAGGTATATTCTTGGTGATCGGAGCATTTGACACGTTCCTTCATCAAAGCTCGCCATTATCAGATACGTTATCTTTTATTAATTATCAGTTTCCAGTTTTCGATAAATTTGATTGTCTGAATAAGCCACCCATAAAGCTTTCGGTTTTCGATCGGTCGGAAAATATTTAAAACATATCAATTTTTTAAAAAGCTGCATTGTCAATGTGAAATCTACTGACTCAGACATATTCATTTACTTGAGAATTTAAATCAGATATTTCAACACATCTGAATTTTTTTGACAATTATTTTCTAACGGCCCGTTAGCAAAAATTTATGGCATGATCTTTTTCAGATTTATTTATGTATCATGATACTTACTGCATATATTAAATAAACGAAACTACTATAATTCATTTAAAGTAGTAAGAAATTTAAGTTGAAAGGGTATTATATTTCTTCATTTGTAAATATTTGATTATTTGATGTATAAAAGGACATCATAGATTTCTTGTTCAATTATTATTTATATTTTTATCGTATATAAACTTCAATCTATAACTTTGATCTAAATGATTTAGATAATAATAATAATAAGTGGCGCGAAAAAAATTTAAATTATACATTTTACTGTATTTTATCAAAAAGCGATCACCGCATTATAATTGGAGCCACGTCTGAATGCATTTATAATTGACAATTGAAAACCGATAATTTTGGTAGTCAAAAAAAGTTAGAATTTTTACCATATTTATTTATGAAAATTAGACCTTGTGGAAACATTTTTACCTGGAGAAAGATATAAAATGGCGTATGCGTTTGTGTTTGAATATAATATCTGATATGAATTTATAGTTTTACTTGCGATCGCTGTATCTAATATTTAAATAATATATTTCAATAATATTATTACTAGTAACTAATGATACGATTTTTAATGTCGCTAATATAAAAAAAAGATAATAACCACCAGTTTGAAATGTGCAATAACCGAGGAACCTTTCAATTTTGCGTCATCATTTTGAACGTAGCGGAAAATAGCCGTATATTTGACGGCATAACTCAAATAATAAATGATATAATTATATCATGATTTAGTATTATTTGTCATTGTTCTGGCTATAACTACAAACTTGGCTTGATTACTTATTATAAATTCGATAAGATCGCGTTGAAATTTTTAGTTGATTTGTAATTGCTTTATCAAAAAAAATTTTTATTTTCAATGTTGAAATTTAAACCTATTTTCTTTGAACAAAATGTTTTTCTAATGAGAATAATATTATTCTATAAAGATACTCTTGCACTTTGAAATGGAATATACGTATGATTTAAGTTGTTTATTAGTATTCATTTATAATAGTACGAAATATTAACTACTAGAAAAACAAAAACCGTCGCCCAAATGTGAGAGCAAAAATATGACAAAAAAAAAATACAATGTAAAGATGTAAAGAGAAATAAGCAGGATAGTATAAATCTAAAAGGAAATTATAATGACTTAAGTGAGAGGAAGAAGAAAAAATACATAGGATAAAATTCCGCACAATGAATAGTCTTTCACTACGTTCCGGACAATTATATGATATAGCTTTTTTATGGCGCTCCAAGTGGATCTTGCAAAATATATCATTATGCTGATCGCTACGGAAGGTCAAAGTTTTGCGTATACTCTGCGTTCATACAGTGAATTTCCATTTTGAAAATTTTGTGCGTCGGTAATAACGTCTTTTTGTTTCTTATGAATTTAAAAAATCTCATTTAAGATTATAATAGATATTTCTAAAAAAAAAAAAAAAAAAAAATATTGAACAAAAATTCGTCAATTATAAAAAGAAATTTTCGGCTTAAATCCAGTAATATTGTTAAGAATTATGTCACGGTAAAAATGAAATAGATTATAAATCAGTTAGTTCGCATTGTCAATGCAATTGATACGTAAGTAGCGCAATTGATTTAATACATACGGAATAGGCCATATCATATTAATCAATAACCATTTTATTTGTTAATCTATTATGGGATTGCTTTTTGGACTTGAAATAAGATTTTAACCAGTTTTCCACTTGATCGTAAGAAGGATTGTACATTGGCTTAACATCTTCTTGAAGCTTAGGTATTAACATCCTACAAATATCAATATTTGCTTGGCTTTTAAAAGTATCATTGTACCTAAATTTGGTTACAGTACGAATTCCCGAAGGCCGAAATCCCGAATGGACGTTTTCCCGAAAACTTGGGCGGAGTTATCGTAATGCTGGCCAAGTTTTCGGGAAAACGTCCATTCGGGATTTCGGCCTTCGGGATAATGTCCGACAAGGCCTAAATTTATACTCATCCTGAGTATAAAATTTTTCAAGAAGTCTCTTCAATAAGGACTAGTAATAAATAATAAACACGTCGGTAAAATTTATATAGTATACAAATAATGAAATTAATTAATAAAACATACTTTTGCTTCTTCTTCAATCTTTATCCCTTCTTTATTCTTTGACACATCATCATCTTCAGTAAGATTACCTAGCTTTTTTACTTTTGATTTTGTTTGTCGTTTAGCTGATTGAGTGGTGCCATCAGACTCGGCTTGTTCATTATCAACTTCTTCATCTAATGATGTCGAATTTGGATTTAATTTCAAATAGTTAGTTCTTTTGGACTTATGAATAGATTTTAATATGTCCTTCACTTGCTCGGGAGAAAGATTGCACCCGTGTGCCTTCAGTTCCTTTTGAAGCTCGGGTATCAACTGTTTACAAATGTCATTATTCGTTTTGCTTGTAAATACTGCTTCTCCCCTAATTTCAAGTCCAGGAAAAGTTTTAAGAAGCGTTTTTATAAGGGACTGTTATAATAAAGAATAATTCAGTAAAATTGATGTAGCATAAAAAATTAATTGGCGATTATTAACCTTTTCTTTATCTTCTGGCTTTTTTCTCGATCGTTTAGCTGGCCGAGTGTCATCATCAGATACAACTTCTTCAGCTTGCGAATCATTATCGTCATTTAATAACTCCGAAGATTCCAAAGATTTATAATTGTCAACTTGAAACTGCAAAATGTTATTCTGTTTAGTGAGTTCGTTATTCTTATACTCTAATTCAAGAATTTTCCGTTTCAATTCTAAATATAAAAATGGATAGATAGATATATAAATATTAGCAACCCTGGCGCATAATATCAAATATATGAAAAATGCTGAAAAAAAATTGAACCTTCGACCTCCGTTTGACTTGAAGGAGTTTTCATATTATTAGAACTAGGACGAATATTTTTGCTTGCATTTTTGTTCTTTGAAGATGTAATATTTTGGACAGCTTCTCCTTGAGAGGAACGACCTTTACGTTTATTTTGACCGGACATAGTTTCTAAAAAAAAAAAAATAATAATTTAAATAATTTTCAAATTTAAATTATGATTGGTCTATGTAATGAAATGAATTACCAAAAACTATCTTTTAGAAGTACCGTGTTAATAATATTTTTTAACCAATTAAGATACCTTAAAAATATTTATTTATTAGGACAAATATTATTTTCACTCTTCAGACGATAATATTACGTACAAGGTGATATCGATGGGAAAAGATTATTTTTTCCCCCCTTTTTAAAAAAAAAAGTAAGTTCCGAATCGGATGATCAAAATTCGCTTATCCCTCCCAAAAAAAGTAATTTGCACATTCATCAAATGGAATAATTTTTCCCATATGTACGACCAATCTAGACTGTATGGAGTCTTTACAATAAAATTTCCGAAAAAACAAAATAACAATTTTGGTTTCCTAACAATCATATTTGTATAAATGCCTTTTTTTATTATTTCTTTAAATCGACGAGAACAAAAAGTAAAACGGTTAAAATACTATGTAAACTAAAATAAAAACTGATTTGTGAGTATCGTTATTTCTTCAGATAAGCGGTAGATAGCTATCTATATATCTGATATGACTAATAATATTTATTTAAGGATGGTACAAGCTGTACGGGTGTAACAAACGGTAATGTAATATTCATATGTTATCAGATATGTTAAAGTTAGTTTATTTGTAAACTTGAGACCTATGCCAAGAACAAAGCACGTGTGGTTACACTAGCATTGTCATGTGAGGTAAACTATGCCGAAGACTCGGACATGTAATGCTAAAGTGTGATGACAAATTTCTTCGTATCATCACTTACACTACTTGGACAAAAGTAGCGGACCCCTAATAACTTCAAATTTTACATAATATTATTGCCTGACATTCTAATATTCAGTGATCACATAAATTCCAGTAATATATGTATTGAATTTTTCATTGTTAGCTTACAAGTTACTATATGGTTTATGAAAAAAATTGTAAAAAAAGAAAATTGAAATAAAGTTGCAAAAAAATTATATTATTTTCGCATTTACTTAAAATTATACATAATAAATTTTATATCATTTAAAAGCTATTGCTTTAAAGAATTAGCATATAAATTTTTATATCTTTATCTTTTCTAAAAAATTAGAAATCAAAAAAATACTAATATCAATTATAATTTTCATCACTACGAGAAGTACGAGCGTGCGGCCAAGTGTGAGAGGAACCAGAATTGGATCGATTGGGAGTATTTAAGCGGTCAGTAGAAGCACGGTTGCGGGAACGTGAATTAGATCTTGACCGTGAACGTGAATTTGAAGGGGATTGTGTTCGCCGGGAGTCAGGGCGGCCACGCTCCATTTTTTAATTAAACCATTTTTTTAAAAAAATTATTTTTTAATTATTCAATTAATGACATTATATGAAAGCCAGTAGTATAAAATTTTAAATATATGCTTTTGAAGTGTCCATTTTATTACATATTAAAATTTTGAGTAATATTGTTATGTACGTTTTGGAGTATTTGAGGTCCGCTACTTTTGTCCAGGTAGTGTAAATTAGGTATATTACAACATGTTTGAGTTTTCTTGACGATTATCATATTTTAAAAAAAATGAATAATTTATGAATATGGGATTATATCCTTTTATATATATTTGACGAATTCCCTAATAGTCGTAGGATAAAGTTAATTGATTCTTGTGAATTATTTACTTTCTTTATACGAAAAAAAAAAAAAAATTATACAGATGAAGTTAGTGTAGTAAAAAATTATTATTTGTAAATATTTAACTATTCGATGTATAAAACAATAGCATAGAATTCTTGTTTAATTGATATTTATATTTTTATCACTTTTTGACAAATGTAAAATTGAAAAATATACCGTAAATAAAATTTTCATGACACTTGTTATTAAAAGTTTATGCCGCGATTATCATCGTTAGAGTTACCCTGAGACCTGAGTGACATGGCTTGTAATTATTGATAAATGAAAACGATAATTTTGGTAAAAATCAAAATTCAAAAGTTAGAATTTTTACCATATTATTAAAATTAGATACAAATAACTCATTCAAAATGGCAAAATAACCACTTCACTGATACATAGTTCGCTTTTTGAAGCTAAACATTTTAGTTAGATGGATCATCTGATGGATGTATCGGATTCGGATTTCCTCGATGGTTTATGAATCTATCAGTTTGTCATAAAATCGTAATTTATTGGATTTTCTTTTTTAGCGCTAATTGTTGAACGCGCCTTCTCACAAGCAGGTAAATTTTAAAAACGGAGACAACACAATTAATTATATAAAATATAGCAACGTAATTTTATATCTAAAATACATCGGGCTAAGCATTTGTTTTTATGCGCAGTACATATCAAATATAAATGGAACATTTCATTATCTATTCTTCTTTACGCAAATTAACAAGTTTAGGGTGTTAAATAAGCAAATTTCAACGGAAAAACACCTAACCAATTTACTACGCATCGCTTAACAAATTTACTGCGCATCGCTTAATCTAGTCATGACAAGTATAGCATCAAAGGAAACATACCATTTTTGGTCTTATCCGTTGTTTTATTGTTCGCGATATTAATGGGGATCGCCACCATGTGGTAATTTAAATACTCCGATGAGTTTCGTGATACAAAAATTAATGCTACTGAAATTGATGGTAAATTTAATTCACGTGATACAGTCGAATCTCGATATACCGAACCCACGGTTTGGGAGTAAAAGTTCGGTATATACTGTAGTAGAGTTCGGTAAAGAAAATTTTTGAACCCCTAAGTTTGTTTTTGGCCAGAATTAAGATGTCTTGGTATCAATTAATTTAGGCAAAACTTGTGGTTCTAATTCTGGCCGAAATCAATTAATTTCAGGCGAAATTGGCAAATCATGTGACTGAGTTCGGTATATAAAAAATTTTTTATTATGTTTATTATGTTTTATAATAAGCGGTAAATCAATAAAAGTTCGGTATACGTTATATGATGTTCGGTACAAGAAAAAAAGATCGTCGACACAAGAAAAGATCGACGAAATTCCGGTTCAAAGAACTTCCGATGACGATTATTTGGATAAAATTTTTGCCGAACAATCACGTGACCTCAAGCCTGGATATACGATACTCTGGATACGAGAGACTAGAGGTCAAATACAATTACAAATACAGGACAGTTCGAGCTAGAATCCGTTTAACAAAGAAAATGGAAGAAATTTTCATCAATGGCGGATCAAATTTAGCAATATCAAAGAACGAACGACGGTATTTTTTCAAGATGTTTGACGCAAAGCTAGATTCCAAAAAGATTAAGGAAAGATATAACTGGCAAGCTTATAGAAAGTTAGATGAGAAGGAATGAAATTCAGCTGATTTTATTTTTGACGAAAGATTATATTAAAAAATATGGCGGACACTTTGCTAAAATTTATCAAAATTAAAGGAAATATATATAATAATAATAAGAAATATATGTAATAATAAAAGTCAAAGGACAAAATAATTGTCCAAAATGACGTTATTTAACAAAATTAAATTTATTTTGATATATTTTAACAACGAAAACGATTTATTACAGATGAAGAAATAGGAAATGTCTACAAATGAAAGGACAAGACGAGCTGATTGGAAAGAACGGTGTTTTTAAGAAAAGACGGATTGAGAACCAAAACAAAACCATCGCAGCTTCATCATCAGAAGATGAACAATTTGAGGATGCTTTATCAAGTCCCAAAATGTCTTCAATTTCGACGATACCCAGAAGTAAAGAAGAACGTGAAAACTTTAATAATTAATTTAGTGAGAGTTTGGGTCAAATAGTAAAAGGAAAAGAGGTAATAGAAGACAAGATCGTGGACAAAGAAATCGTGAATGAAAACAAGAAACGCGTAGTGACAACGCAAGGACGCAACAGAGAAGACTCTGATGACGAGTAAACAAAACTTTGCGTCTACAATTAACCAAATTTAAGACTGAAGTCCCTGGATTTGCGTTTGGAATTGGTTGAAGATTACACGCGGACGATACAGAATTTCGGACAATTATTGGATACATTTCTATCAAGAGCGTAGATTAAGGGGCTTTAATTCTTAATGTTTTAATTTAATTTTTTGTTTAATTTTTTTTCTTTTCTTTTTGTCTTTTAGATTTTAATTTTAAGGAAAATTTATGAGATAGTTTTTGGATTCAAGTAATATCTTAGTCAATATCGTTTTAATACATTCTGGTTAGTTTTTAAAAATAAGAAAAAGTATGGAAAATATAGAAAACAGTAGAAAATATCAAAAAAAAAAAAACAAAAAAAATTTAGAAACAATTTTTTAGAGTAGTATTGCTTTTTACACAAAGGATAGATTTTTAAACTTAACAATTATTAATTTTTAGATTTATTAGTTTTTTTTTTTAGACTAGATTGGATTCAGTTATAGAGGGAAGGATGATTGTCTGTCTACTTCTTTCTAGGTGTTTTATTTTATGTTATGCAATTCATTTTTATGATATGTACATAATTAATAAACGCGTTACTGTTTTTTTTTTAAAAAAAAAAATGTTTTTAAATACTATGAAACTGGTTTTTTTTTAAAAAAAAGATGTTTTTAAATACTATGAAACTGGTTTTTAAAAAAAGTTCGGTAAGTCGAGACATCGTGGGTTCGTTACATCGAGATCAGATTGTACTTGCTATATCACGGAGGCGCAGCAAATCTTATTAATGATCATGACTACAAGACTTAATACTATCGAAAAAGCCTGTAGTAATGATTTTTTGGCTCAATTAATGCTTCTATCGAAGTTCTGATGTCGATATTAATATAACAGAACATCCATAATGAAATGGTTCAACGTTATGCAATGGCTCAATTGCTCAAAAAATTCGCAGCTTCAGTCCAATCACGTGCAAGCTCTTCCAGCGAGGGCGTAGTAAAGAATAATCTATTATCTACATTTTTATGTATACCATCAATATATTCTCCTGCAGGTCGGCCCAACAGCCTTCAAAGATATCAGCTAAACTATCGTTATCTGGACTCAATTTAATGAAATCGGGCTTAAAAAAGATTCAACTTAGAAGATCTCTATGTAGCAGCGAAAATTCGTGCTATTAAGAAGACTACAGTTCAAAATTTTTATGAAAGAAATATTAAGTAGGATGGTTACATGAGTACATTGGATGATATTAGTTTATGAGTATATAGTAAAATTCCTATCGAATTATCATATCGATCGGTACGGATAGGATAGTATTGCGGAGTACCGCAATTTTTACTATGTAAAAGACCTAGAAGTCAATGCGATTCCTCCCTACCGGCCTACCCTATAAACGTGATCTGTTCCATTTTCTTCAGTTTTATTGCATTCATTTTTACTTGTATTTATGAAAATAGTAAATAAAGTTTTGCTTGATTCTTTTAATCAAGTATGTATATAATATTTTTTTATTTAAACAATTGATTCAGAATAAATCATAATAGAATAACCTTAGCTTCTATGACAATTTCTCTCTCTTGAGTCTCTTCAACTTAAAGAACAACTTCATTAAACCTACTATTAGCAATATAATACAAATAGTCCCTGCAATGACCATTATATTAATATTGGTTGTATCAGTTGGTTAAGGTTTTGATCTTTGAATTTTATGGTAAATAACTTTTTCAAAATCTACAGATAGGTGAGCTTTATGTATATTCAAAAAATCCGTGCCAAGAAATATTTATATCATTGAAGAGACATTTAGTAGTTGATAAGCTCACCGACATCATTCTTTTATTTTGTGTTAATGTTAGTCAGATTGTACGAATCGAACACCTCCTTGCAGACAAAGGTCTCCGGGGACCCTGTGACCATATTTTAATCATGCTAAGCAATTATGTAATATAGCCATTTTCATTATACTAACTATAAGTGATGTGATCTTTACAATTCTGATGCAGTCTAATAATAAACGGTTCTTGTGTGGGTAGTCACAAAAATGTCACGAAAAATCACGTGTCTGTTTTTGTCTGCGTCACACCCTTCCTTGTTTCCATTTTTCATAAGTACACTACTTACTCAAAAGTTTAGGACCACCCTATATTTGCAATTTTATGATAATTAAATGTATTTATTCAACTTAAAATATTTTAATTAAAATTTAATAGTAATATTTAACATTAAATGTATATTTTTTTATATTTTTTTATATTATAAATATAAATATAAATTTGAGTAAATTACCAGTCTACTTTCATAATTAACAATTAATAAAAATTTGACTGTAAATAAAATTGTTAAGAAAAATAATTTTAATAAAACTACATCAGATTTAATTTCTCCTAGTTAAGAGGATTAAAATAAGCTAAAGTTTGTTGAAATTGGTGCAGTAGATAAGGAGAAATTGACTGTTGATAACTAATCATTTATATATAAAAATTAAATGTAGATCATTTTATATATGTAAAATATCCTAAAATGTCAATATTTAGCAATCAATTTCTCCTTATCTACTGCACCGATTTTAACAAACTTTAGCTTATTTTGATCCTCTTAACTAGGAGAAATTGAATCTGATGTAGTTTTATTAAAATTATTTTCTTAACAATTTTATTTACAGTCAAATTTTTATTAATTGTTAATTATGAAAGTAGACTGGTAATTTACTCAAATTTATATTTATATTTATAATATAAAAAAATATAAAAAAATGTACATTTAATGTTAAATATTACTATTAAATTTTAATTAAAATATTTTAAGTTGAATAAATACATTTAATTATTATAAAATTGCAAAATATAGGGTGGTCCTAAACTTTTAAGTAAGTAGTGTATCTGGGGGACGAATTTTTTTTCGAGGTGTGAAATCCTATTTTTCACGCTTTATTTGTCACATAGTTAATTTCTTAATTTCTTAATGCCGGCCGTTTCGTGACATTTTTGTTGGGTAGTCGCCTTACTGCGCCTTATTCATTTCTTCCACAAGTCACGTATCCATGGGAGAATATATAGATGAATATGAATATACTGGGTCGAATTTACGGCCCTTTTTAATAATAGGAGGAAAGAGAAAGTCGTTCTTGACCTAGGATCCGAGAACTCCCTCTCTCTGATAGCATCATATTTTTTCGCTTTACTATTTCTCAAAATTTTTTATATTTCTTAGCCATAAAGGCATTTATCTAAAAATTTTAATAAAGTTTCGCCTGATATGGGCTCTTATTAATTTGAATTTCTATTTTGCATGAAAAAATTTTGCGCGCAAAATTTCTAAATAACATGTTCCACCCTGATTATAATTACATTACTGATGAACTCCCAATAAGCTTAGTAAATAGGGCGTATCAACAGTTCCTGCATCACTCCCGTAACCCTATTCCCCCAGAACAACTGAACCGCAAAACTATGAATCGGGAAAAGCTGCGCCCAAAGTTGCCTGAATGCCCGGCAGCCTTATCATTGTCAACTGCATATGTTTCAAACAATGGGACTCAGACGGATAATATTACATGTGACCATGAATTGGAAATCAATGACCGGGTTAAAATAAGCTTATATCTTGCAAAAGCAACTCCGGTTCATGCAAGCTCTAGGTAACATGAGGAACGAATTTTTTCGTATTGCAACAATAACGTTTATGGAGTAGCAATGATGAACGGAACAGATCTACGAATAGAAATGTTTCAAGCTGGAATGGCCAAGGTTTATTTCACGGACGGCAGTGTAAATATTATCATATTAATAAAATTTTTATTATTTCAACAGAAAATATTTTGAGCCCAAGATCGGCTTTTAGTCTACAGTTTCAGCCCGCTTTAACCGTAGGCCGGTTACGGAATAGCTTTGGCTAGTTTGGTTTGATGGGGCTCCTTCTAGTTATTGTACCTATAATATTAGGAATTAGTATCATACTGTCAGTACTAATATATTTTATTAATCACAAGTAACAGTTAATCCTCCTAAATGACATTGAATGAAAGAAGGATTATGATATTGAGAACACAACTTCAACAATCTGTTGAAATTGAAGATGGGCGCCATCATTTTTGTGATTTAGCTGATAATTTCTAAATTGGTATATACATAATATGGTTGTTTCCAGTTACGTTGAACAAATGCTTGTCTAATTTTATAATTTGTTGTCATGTGAAAGAATTACAAGATCATTAGGTAATTTTTTATTACTTAATTTCTTAAAAAGATTTGTTTGTAATCACAATAGTTTATAATAATGAAGTATTTAATTATTGCAAAAACAAGAATATATTATTAATTGATTATTAAACTGCATATTTTATTTCTTTTTTAATTTACCGTAAAAACTTTTCATTCATAAACTTAAAATTAGTATCCCATGCAGCACCTCCTTAAATTCCATGTTGGTTGTTTTATCTATGATAATGGCGAAAAGTTAAACTATCGACAGAATGTTAAGATCCTATTTGGCTGCATAATAATTAATTCTTAAATTACCTTAGAATAAACTATACTTATTTTCTTATTTAAATTTCAGTCTATTTTTATTATTGTTATTCATCTTATCAAAGATTTTTTTTTCCTAACTTCTAAATATCCATTTTATTATTAACATTAAGAATATTTTGTTACAAAAATTATCAAATTTTTACTCTATTCTATTGAATTACCGTTCATTTATTTTACAAATTATAATATTATTAATATAAAATTCTTGTTAAAGTAGAACAGAAAATGAACGAATAAATTCAATGCTTTCATTCTCAAAGTTATTGCCATTCCTTTTACTTTATGAGAAATTTACATCTATTGTATTTTGAAATATTAATGGTGCAGAAGCATAATTCAGGGTAGGAATTGGTTAATTATTTTGAAAGAATAATAGATAGTATGAAATGGTCATCTGACTTAGTCACTTTAAACTTGTTACTTCATTCGTTTTATTACATTTATTTTATCATGAAAAAATCTATAAATGTCCCGAATCC